GAGGTGAAATGATCATGATGGTGTATGAGAAGGCATTATCAAGGAAGAATATCTTCGATCAGCAAATTACAGCAAGGGAAAGCCAAACTCAGAGCCAGGAGAGCGATGATAGTAACGGTGAAGTGGCGCCCAATACTAAACAGAGGAAGCTTTGCGGACTATTTCCGCTGCGACGAGCCACTGGTAAAGAGAAAGTGAAGACTGCGGCTTCCATGGGAAAGATATTCAATTTACTACGTGGAGATGTCTACGAAGTGGCCCAGCGGTTCTGGGAAGTCGACACCTTGGTCGACAAACCCCTGGGTCTTGTCATTGCCACAGTGCTTGTCTGGAAATTGCTTGGACCCTCCTGCTTCCTTGGAATCTCGGCTATCCTGATAGCTCAGGTCCTGAATGTCTTCATAACACGTATGCTTCTTCGATGGGAAAGAGTGCGCAGACTGGCGACAGATACCAGACTCCAAATATCATCCCAGTTCGTGGAGGCCCTTCGCCATCTTCGTTGGTATGGATGGCAGAATCATTGGCTCCGGCAAGTTATGGATGCCAGGCAATCCGAATTGAACCTTCGCATCGTGACTAGTCTTTTCAATGTCCTAATCCGCTTTGTCAATACCTTCGCCAGTGGTCTATTCCCTGTCGTGGCCTTGTATGCCTATACATTACTGGCTGGGAACCCCCTACGTATTGACATTATATTTCCGGCATTGCAGCTCTTCACTATGCTAGAGCTTCGGCTAAGGGAAATCCCAGGTCTAATCACAGTGCTCATCAATGCATCTATCGCCATGGAACGTATAGAGGACTTTATGGCTGAACCTGACAAGGAGAAGCAGACAGTAGTAGCAGCGCACACTGAAACCTCACTCGTGTTAAATTCTTGCTACTTTGCATGGCCTGGCAGAACGTCGCCTGTGCTCTCTGACATCAATTTGACAGTTTCTCGGGGGTTAACAGTCATCTGCGGTAAGGTAGGTGCTGGAAAAACAGCACTGCTCCAAGCCTTACTTGGTGAATTGGATAGACTAAGTGGTGTTTCCGAGACCCCCAATGAGATGGTCGGATATTGTTCTCAAACGCCATGGTTGCAGAGCATGAGTATCCGTGACAATATTCTGTTCTCCTCCGCGTACGATGACCGTCGCTACAAGCAAGTTCTCGAGGCCTGCGCATTACTTCCAGATCTGGCTAATTTCAAACATGGCGACCTTTCATTTGTGGGTGAGAATGGCATTGGTCTCTCGGGTGGGCAGAAGGCACGGGTGGCTCTTGCACGGGCAGTCTACAGTACTGCGAGAATTCTATATCTTGACGACCCTTTGTCCGCCCTGGATCATAATACGGCAGAAACCATAGTTCGCAGATGCTTCTCTGGCCCGTTGATGCAAAATCGCACAGTTGTCCTTGTCACTCACCGCACCACTTTGGTACGCCATATTGCAGACCAAATTGTTCACCTTCTTGATGGCAGAGCTACCATAGAGGATAAGCAAGCCATTTCCTCAACCCTTAGCATCGATGATACAGACGAATCCTCCTCATCTCCATCTACGGATGATGAAGCTCAGGATGACGCAGCAGACATGGATGATAAAGCCGCGGTGCCAGACAAGTTTATTGAAGAGGAACACCGGGCTGAATGGGGAGTAAAGGCCAAAGTCTACTGGAACTATATAAGAGCCGGAAAGTATAAGTGGTGGCTGGTCCTTGCCATCTTCATAATCATGTATCGTCTCGCAGCTGTTGGCCAATCCTGGTTTCTCAAAGAGTGGGGCGAGGCTTATGATCACGACCAAACGCTTGTATTATTTGGTGCCTCGCCATCTTATAAGAAGGCTTCCTCAGGAGAACCGGGAGGACCACCAGTCCTCCCACAGGTGCTCAATTGGAATCCAGGTAATCCATTTGACAAATTTCCAGCACCACTCGAAGACGTCCGTCCATGGCTTGTGGCATTTTTTGCCATTACAGTTTTCCAATCACTCACTGTCCTAATCTCACAGCTCATGATGATTGTCATAGTTTACTGCGCGGGCAAAACAATGTTCCAGGAAGTCATGCTGCGTGTCAGCCATGCCACATTCCGTTTCTTCGATGTCACTCCTATTGGGCGTTTGATGAACCGGTTGACATCTGACATCGGTGTGGTCGACGGCAATATCAGCGAACAATTCCAGAGAATTATCTTCCAGGCTATTGTGTGGGTTTCGTCACTGCTGGTCATTGCCTCAGTCACACCTACATTTCTGGCTTTTTCATTGGTTCTAACAGCCGCTTTTATCTTTACCTTCCTGCGATTTCTCCCAACGTCACAAAGCCTGCGACGGCTGGAGATGGTGTCTCTGAGTCCGCTCATTTCGAATTTTGGAGAGCTTTTGCACGGTCTAACTACTGTCCGTGCATTCCACGCGGAATCACGCTTTCAGGATAGAGTCATCGCCGTTGTGGATAAGTTTCAGGGAATGGACCACTTCTACTGGTCACTGCAGAGTTGGCTGATGTATCGTTTCGAAGGTCTATCTGCGCTTTCAACGTTCTGTCTTACTGCCATTGCACTCTACACAAATGTCACTCCTGGTCTGGCCGCCTTCGTTCTGATCGCAGCGAATAACTTTGTGGACTCTACACACGCATTATGCAAGCAGTATGGCCAACTACAGATGGACTTCGTCTCAGTGGAAAGGGTAGACGAACTTCTCCACATCGAGCAAGAATCTCCAGGAACAATTGAGCCACCGGCCTCTTGGCCGAAATTCGGCTCCGATATTGTGTTTGAGGATGTTACGATACGATATGCTCCTCATCTGGATCCATCCCTGAACAATATCTCCCTCCGCATTCCCGGTGGGTCCACGACAGCCGTCATCGGCAGAACAGGGAGCGGGAAGTCTACCCTTGCAGTCTCACTCCTTAATGTGATTCGCGCAGATGGCGGTCGCATCCTAGTTGATGACCACGACATTGCGCAGGTGAGCACTCAAGCACTCCGGACACGGGTAACATTTGTTGCGCAAGACCCTGTTCTTTTCCCAGGAAGCATACGCCTCAACCTCGATCCAACCGGCGAGTACACAGACGCAGAGTGTGCAGACGTCCTCAAACGCATCTGCAGCAGACACGGCTGGAACTTAGATACACATGTTGAAGCTGGGGGTCGGAACCTCAGCCAGGGCGAACGACAACTAATTGGTCTGTCGAGAGCAGTCTTGCGCCGGAGCTCGATTGTCATACTCGATGAGGCAACGGCGTCCATCGACCACGAAAGTTCGTTGGAGATCCAGCAAGTCCTCAGAGCGGAAATGAAAGAGTCGACAGTCATCACTATTGCGCACAGATTGGAAGCCATCAAGGACGCAGATTACTATGTTGTTCTAGATCAGGGACGAGTATCCAAACAGGGATACGTGAAGGATATGTGAGCATACGGCCAGAAACAAAGTACGGACTAAATGAATAGAGCCCATTTACTTTAACCCGCACTATAGTAGCCAACAGAGTAATCAACCGTTCATTTACATTTCTCCAACGAATCCCCAACCCACTTAAAGAGACACCATGGACGAATACCTACCAAGCGCATCTCAAAGCCCAGAACAAAAACAAAGCATACACATACCAGACCCTATTCACCCCTAAAGCCCCGGCCCCGGCCACAGACCCAGTCACAACAGGAAACCCAACTGTCGACGTGCCATCCCAAGCCGCCAAACTCCCAGACGAAGTGGAGACACACGTACTCCCACAAGCACTAGTGGAACCCAGCCCCAACCCCAATCCAGACACAACCACCCCTTCACTAGTAACCATAGTAGTCTCTTGAGACCTACTAGTAACAATTCCATCACCCGAGGACGTCCCAGCCGATCCCGACCTAAACACCGTACCCACAGCTCTTGACCTCCCGCGATCAAAACAAAGCCGCTGTTTCCTCTTGCTCTCTACCAGTCCACTAACCTCACCAGTCCCAGGCGTAGTCACAGGCCAAAAAGAACCCCAATATCCACCCAAAGAGGGCCTAATCGCATCACTGGAATCAGGTTCTAATCCGTAACCCAGACTTGCACTCGAACCCATCGTTGAACTCGGTCTCTCCCCAAAAGAAATGAAATCCACCCCATCAATCGAATCAGTTTCATCAGTCTCATCCTCACAAATCCCCGTACCGGGAACTTCAATAGTGCTACTACCTCTCACCCACGAATACCCCGTCCCATTAAACGCACAAATAGCATCCCCCGCATCGGGCGAGAACTCAAAGCCTATTCCCCAAATTAGAGTTATACCGTCTCCCTTGTTTGGGGGCGGACGCGAAAGAAGCGAAAGAGATGAAAAGAGGTACTGTACATAAAGCCCACCCTTCATAGCCCTTGGGGATTATGCGCGCCAATCTGTGTATTTAGTTAGTAGTGTCTTCTCCGAATGACAGCTGGACCTCGACTGGGGAGAAAGAACGTACTCGATATTGCAAGAGCGGAGTTCAACTCGGGTGTGCGAGACGCAGAAGAGTATTTCGGGGCTGTGGAGGGAGCCGTGCGTGCAGTAGTGGGTGCCGGGGATTGAGCAGAGGTTTTTGGGGGTTGAGTGGAGGAGGGAGTAGGAGTACTGGTTGGGTTGGGCCCATCCTGAGTGGAGGAGAGAGATTATTGTGTAGAGGTAGTAGATGACGAGGAGTATGGTGGACATTCTGTAGTCGGTTGAGTAGTATGTGGTGGTAGAATGTTGAGACACGGGGGGGGGGGGGGGGGGGGGGGGGGGTGAAAGGTAGATATGAGGTGGTATAGCAGATGAGAGTCAGGTCATAGGTTCTCGTGGTGCGTGTTGTGTGTTTCGGTTAGGAGAGGGTATGCTACTGGTGACTGGTGTGTCTGTAGGACATGTTTATGCTCTCTCTTGTGGAAAGCTTGTAACCCTCCCTGTCAACAATGAGCCGACCTTGGTATGTTTAGCACTATACGGTAGTTTCTCATGGAGGCCGTACAGATACTGTCCATTGTAAATCATTCAAACGCGTATGTTCAGATTATCATTGGATATTGATGCCAGACAGCACATAAAAGAAGATGACTCTATGGTATGACACGACTTGAGACCACCAGGATAGCCAGCAGACCACCTCGGATATGATCGAACGAAACCCAGCATAAACATACTTTTATCCAAAATCAACCGTCTAACGCCAAACTCGCCGTGACACAATGCTACAACCGGATTTTCTTTATTGCTGGCTTTCCTTGAATTTGCGAATCCTCCGTTTTATATCACCTTCGGTCTGCTGCATCGGGTTCAATTTCCGGTCACGGACCATGGCTGCGATGTTGTCTCCATGACGGTCGATCAGCCTTGTAATCCACTCCACTTCTCTCTCGCTCATGTGTCGGGGTTTCTTCGCCTTGACGGCATTGCTCTCCTTGTCTGCTTGGCGTTCGAGCTGTTCAACAATCGCACTTGTAGGGATCTTCATTTGCGATCCAGCATCCTCCATCTCGTCGTCGGACGAATCATTCAAAGGATCATTAAGCGGGTTTGACTTGCGGACCTTACGTCCGGCGACTTCAATCATTTCGTGCTCGTCGGGTTGAATCACGCGGATAATCTTTCCGGTCTCGGGATCGCGTTCGACCTTGGTTTCTCCCAGCGTAATGTTCTTCGTGGCGGCTTGGGCACTGCTCTTGATGTGAAGAGAGTCCTCCGGGACGGTCTCGATGCCATTTTTCGTCACGCGCTTTTCAGAACCACCGGTGGGGGCATTCAAACGATGGGAGAGACCCAGCCGACGGTAGTTTTGTGTCAGGGTCAGGTTTCGGTCCCTACAGATACTTATATTAGCTTTGCGCTTGTTGCTTCCGCTACTTGGAAAATTTACCAATTCTCGGCGATGATCGCATTTCCGAGCACGTTAATTTTCTTGTTGCCATTCTTGAGGATACCGGATCTCTTAGGCTTCTGCTTCGGCAGGGAAGACTTAAGCTTTCTCTTCTGTCTCGGGTTTCCCATGTTGTATGATTGTGTGTATTAACGGATTCAATGTCGACAAAGTTGATGCGCTGAAGAAATCTGAAAATTAATCTTATCGATTTCTCCGAAAAGGTTGGTGGGTGTTTGCATTGGCCGTCTTGGCATGTTTGTCGCAGGATTCCCGATAACAAGCAGTAAGTTTAAGGGTCCGACGATCGGGCCCCATGCGAGTGTCACTTACTTCCGATCCATGTGTCACTGCTCTCCTGGGCGTACAGAATTATTTTCACAGCAATGGCTCGGCTTTTCTCTACGCCGCGCAGACTTGCCCTTGCGCTAGCTGCTGGATTGGTTCTGTTCAGTGTACTGGCGGTTGCCAAAGATGCGATCCCCGTTGGAGAGCTGTCTGTAGGTCAGATCGAGGATGAACTACAGGTAAATATGAAGCTGTCCCCTGCCCCTGGATAGTCTATACCGATATCTGGAACGCAATCGCTGTCATATATCGCTTTTCTATAATATACTAATAACATATATAGAACTGCCCTCTCGTGGAATCTCTCAACGAGCACAAGCGTGCGACCAGTCCCCAAACCGCCAGCTTGACGTCGAAGATCTTCGCCGTCCTTTTCCCTGGTAGCCCAGCTGTGAACGCAATTCTGGCCACTGCGTATATCTCTGGACCACCCAGTACGTCCCTACATTTCTTCCGCGGTGTGACATATCAATTAACCAGCATTAGACTTCCTCTTGGCACTATGTCCCCCCAACATCGACCCCTCATCCTTGTCCGTGATGGTAGCGTTCGCCGTAGGCGGCCTGATGGGCGACACGTTATTCCACCTACTACCTGAGATCTTCCTCGGTGAAGACAGTCCCGATCACGTCCGCTTTGTCATGGTCGAGCCGAACAGGAACCTCCTCCTCGGACTCGGCATAATGGTCGGCTTCTTTACCTTCGTCGCAATGGACAAGACCCTCCGCATCGCAACCGGCGGCGAAGGCCACGACCATTCCCACGGCCACAATCACTCCCATGAACCCGCCACAGCAGTAACAACTGGCACCTCAACCGGCACCACGTCCTCCGCCGATCTCAAACAGCGCAAGCCCACCAAGGAGCAAGCCGTCGCAGACCCCTCCCCCGAGAAGGAAATCAACCCCAGTGTCAAACTCGGCGGCTACCTCAACCTAATCGCCGACTTCACCCACAACATCACCGACGGCCTGGCCATGTCCTCATCCTTCTACGCCTCCCCTACCATCGGCGCAACGACCACTGTCGCCGTCTTCTTCCACGAAATTCCCCACGAGGTCGGCGACTTCGCCCTCCTCGTGCAGTCCGGCTTCTCGAAGAAGAAGGCCATGGGCGCGCAGTTCGTTACCGCTATCGGTGCCTTCCTGGGTACTTTTATCGGTATCGCAGTGCAGGAGTTCGGAGGCAGCCATGCTACTGCTGCTGATGCTGCGGAGGGGGTGGTGAGTGGTCTCTGGGGCACCAGTCTACAGTGGGGGGATATGCTTCTTCCGTTTACGGCGGGGACGTTCCTTTATGTGGGAACTGTGTCTGTTATCCCTGAGTTGTTGGAGACGGGGAAGGATAAGAAGGTCGAGATTAAGAAGACTATTGTGCAGTTTTTGGCCGTTGCGCTTGGCGCGGGGATTATGCTCGCGTATGTTTTTCATTTTTTTCTCTTCATTTTTCATTTCAACACTCCAGTATATCTGAGTGGGGCTTTGCTAACGTGGATATCAGGATCTCTTGGGATTAAGCATACATCCCTCCCATCAGCACCTCAAAAAATACGACACACACTCTTCTCTCACTCTCACTCATTCCTAAACCTTGGAAGAACACAACACTACTACTACGCCATCTACCAAAAGTCATCTAGATGAAAACAATATCGCGTGTATGTATGTAATGGGACCTAGAATAATATCCATAGCGCCAGCCCCGTTCCTGGTAATGCATAGTCTCAGACCAGACGGACCTCAATCCCACTCTACGTAGAACTACTTAATACAAGACAACCAACGCCCATCCGACCATCAAGTTGCGCGAGGAAGCATCGTAAGACAGAAGGAAATGCAAAGCAAAAGACCCCACGACCAGGGAAAAACGAACCTGCGCACAGCGCGCGGATGCAAACAACCAAATACATAAGACAAAAAACAATCTAGAATGAAAATATGACAGTTTCTTCACTCATTGTAGTGATATACCTAATTCAAACCCAAATCAGCATCGTGATACTCACCCAATCAACCATACCGAGCAAACAAGAAAACTGGGTAGAAAGAGAATAAACGAAAAGAGAAGAAACTTACAAAATAATCCGGCAGCCCAAAGACCTGATACCCTAATCTCTTAGCCATCTTCGCGAACCCCTCCGTCTCAACGAGATGATAGAACGGAAAAGCCGGGAACATGGCGCCGTCGCGATGCACATCGGCCTTAACCATTAACGCCGTGCCACCGACACCATCAAGCTCGATCACACGTCTCGGGTTGGGGTTCTCCGTATCAGCCAGATAGGCCATGAGTGTTCGATACGTGGGCATCTCGGCATACCCCTCCAGCAGAATGTCATCGGGACCCATACTCTCCGCCAACGACTGGGCGTTGGAGCTATCGATCCACGAATTGAAATCATACGGCCGGACCTCCATCTGCTTGTGGTCGTTATTGTAGTACCGCTGGTAGCAGTTCGGGACGATGACCGGGTAATTATGACCCGTCAGATCCTGGATGAGCGTTGCCGGAGTCTCGACGATATCTGCATCGAGCCAGAGGACCCAGGAGGTTGCCGGACCGAGGGTGGTGAAGAGGAGGCTGTTGCGGGCGCGGGACATGCTCTCGCGACGAGCCTTCTGGTTCTCGAGCTTGTGACGCTCCTTTTCATCCTGGGATTGCAGCGGGGGCTCGAAGTCCTGGCGGAGAATGCTGATGCTGGCGAAGCGGGAGGGGATGGGCCCGTTTTGCGTTTTGCTGATGGCTGATTCTAGGGCGGAGACGGCGGCGGAGCCTTCCTTTGTGTTGGGGATGATGAAACCCAGAGAGATGAGCTCGTGGGGGTAGTTAAGGTGCACGAGGTTGTCCCAGAATTCTTGGTAGAAGCGGGCTAAGGGGGTGAGGATGAGGACTCGTTCACCTTTGTCGGCGGAGTCGCTGGTTGTGGTGAGTTTGTTGAGGTCGTAGTGGACGACTGGTGGAGGAGCTTTGAAGCCGTCATCGCGGACGGGTTGGGATTTGAGGAAGGGTTTTGTCGGAGGGGAGAGAGGATTGTCTGCGGCGTCTTCGCGGCGTTGCTGGGAGGTGTCTCCTCTGGTGGTTGTGGTGGTGGCGGCGGAGGATGACGGAGAGAGAAGGAAAAAGAGGAATCCAAAGGCGAGGAAGGCTGCCAGGAAGAAGGTGATGGGACTTGTGCGTCGCATTGGGCGTGCGACGGCCATCGTGGCCTGTTGAGGACCGGGGGAAGAAGTATAAGGGCGTTGATCGAGGAGGAGATGGAGAGGTTGTCGGCAGGATTGGTGTGCGTAACGTGGTCAATATGGGATCGACAGTCGTCGTAGTCCGGCGAATCCTCGTTAGCCAGCGATAAAAGCAGTCCTGTGCCTGGCCCCTGACATAGCGAAGTCGAGCACGAGCGAGAGTAGTCGGTCAACTCCCCGGATGTAGTCTCCGGAGGGGAGCGGACGGAGATAATGATGGCGAAGGAGACGATCGATGTTCTAGTCTAGTGAAGCTCTCCGGAAAAAGACACTCGGACCCAATTTTCTGTCTGGCTCGGTTGAACCCTTTCTTTCCGCCTTCCTGCTTTTTTTTGCGGTGGCTACTGAGTCGCCATTTCGGTGTCTTGATGCCTTGACTGGCGCCGCAGTTGCATTCAGGGATTGACAGAGAAAATTGCAAGAGAGAGAGAGAGAGTCTAATGGTTGTTTTTGGACGATGGGGACACTCGCTCATCGCCGAATGCGGCAACTCTGCAGGCGTCACACTTGACACGGGCTTTTTTTTCTTTTGTTGCCCTTTATGGTTTCGCCAAGGAAAAGTTCTTTGTTAATTTGATCTTATTTTACTTGGTTTTTTTTTTTTTTTTGCACATGTGGAAAGCATTCATTTATTGAGTCTATTAATATGTATAAAGTCGTTCATGCGTTGGTATAGTTCTATCGTATGTACAAATGCAATGTAGCCTCTTTGCTTGTTTCGTGTACGCCAAAAAGTGTCCACATATTTTCAGGGCAGCCACCGCATCACACCCTCAAATGCAACCAGAGCCATCGCATTCGCCGGGAACGCTCTCAGGAAGCATGGCACAAATCCTCTCCAGTATCCTCTCCACCCTCGCTCCCGATAAACCGCCACGGCAGCGTCTTTCCACCACCGGAACTGTCGCTGCCCGTCACCCAGAGCACCGCCCATCGGGTCCGTCATCAGGCGCTGTTTCACCACATCAGACGGATACGACGTGATCCAGAAGATCTGCGCTGAGATACCACCGGCCCAGAAGTTAATGGCCGGGGTGGATAGGTCCGTTCGCTCCCTCATCAACCGGGATAGCACATCGTAGGATCCCCACCAGAAGAAAAAGAAAGAGCGGAAGAAGATCGTGGCGCACAGGCCACGATATAAGCCGGAGAGTCCATGCGTGCGAAGCTACTCGAGTCAGTATCATCCCTACCGTCCCTCGTCTATGGACTGCACTTACAATTTTACGAGTGCAATCGATCGGCCCACTATACATGCGCTTCGATTTATCAGCTGCATACTGAATCTGCAGCCGCGCTTTGACATGCTCGACAGGCGCGGCAATGAAACTGACTGTCGTTCCGGCCATGATTCCTGCAATTCCATGACCAAAGCTGGGCAATGTGTGCAGGTCTTGGTATTTGGCAAAGGGCGTTATGCGACGAATCTCAGGCCTGGAGAATACGTTTTCGTGGAGCAATCGGCGATACAGCGTCAAGGAGCCAAGCATGCTATACTTCGGGTCAGCTCCTCCTTCCTCCCCATTTGAGTAAGGGCCGGGCAAAACTCACACAGAGTCCATCACCATCCATCCGACCAGCGGCGGCGTTGCTCCCTTGTACAATCCACTCACACCTTCTTTCCGCACTGTCTGTAGCACGCAGTCTAGCGGTCCTTTGAAGTGCCCATCTTTACTCGTCTGTAGACGGACCTTCACGGTATCGAATCTAAGAAACTTGGTGTTAACATTCCTGATCTAAGAGAAGCGCACGACAAGAGCGGTATCACATACGGGTGTCCGACTAAAATCCGTAGAAAACAGAATTAGCTACGAGCATCACGATGACCAACAGACCACAGAACTGTCGCCAACATTTTTTAAGACAATACATACCACTCAGCTTCGCGATACCAGAGAATACCCCAGCAACAAAGCCCTTATAGTCACGCTTCGAGCTCGTGATCGGGGGTGCATTTCCACCCCCTGCGGCGGAACCGCCCATTTTCTTCGATGTTTGATGCTCCGGTATAGACGGTGTCGGAGATGTTTCCAATGGCGTTGGCGCTGTCGACATTTTGGAATATGTATATGTCTCCTTTCGCTTGGGTATCCCTATGGGATAGTTCTTCACACTGTAGTATCTGTGCGGAGAGTCGACCGCCGTACGTAGTGAAGTCGCAAGGTAGTGTTTTTTTTGGGGGGGGGGGAGGGGGTCCGCTATCGGACGAGGGGATTGGCGATGTTAACGACGTTGCGTAGTCCCCATCGGTCGGTGCGGTCGAATTTGGGGCCAGGGAGAGTCCGGATGCAATTGAGACCGTCTAGAGAATGATAGAGAAACCTCCATTGAAAAGAAGTTGGAGAGAGCGATGAGGCCGAGTTTAAAGATTCCATCCTTTGCGGCGCCCCGCAGAACTGGGCGGTCGGGGAGCAAGGGTGCACCTCCGGAGCACCTTGCCGATCGTCCCGGACTTGGCCTCTTCTTAACTCCGAGGCATTGGACTGGTTCGTCCATACACGGCTAGAAGATCGTTGAAGGCTAATGTGGTGTTTAACTATTTATGTACAGAAACCTACTATTTTAATGTGAAAGGGATGTCCATTTGTCACTACTGATATCGTGTTGGTAAAGATTTGTTTGCTATTGTCTAGCGGCTGTGAAGCCCAAATATATATTCCGAATATAATGACAAAATGAACAATCAAATGCCCAGTGAGATGTGGTTTGTTTTGCTTTCTTTTCCTATTCTTTTTCTATTTCACCGCCCTTCGCACAATGCGGAGTTTCGAGATGGTCAATTCATTGTAAAACAAATGCAGAACAGACTGGTTCTGTTCGATCTTTAGAGGTAATGCAATTGCCAGAACCCCCGAACACGTGGTAACAGATATGTGTGGAGAATATAGGAACATCGGAAACAAGAAATATCAATAATCGTAATAGCAACACAGAACATAGAAAAGAGTAGAATGTAAGGCTATGTGGGGTATAAAATACAACAGCTCGTAGTACACACAAAAGCGATCTGTTCGATGTCTGGAGATCGTCTATAGACTCGACAGCCAGGGTGAACACAAGAAACAGAGAATGATGATGAGTTTGTGAAACCGCAGGTCCTGGCAGTCCTCGGCAACTACAACAGGTCACCGCCCGGCTCTGCGTGGTAGAAAAATCTCCCTCCGGACGGCGAACGTTAATATCGAGTCTTGGTGCCTTTCTTGGCACCTTGACGGGCCCGCTCGGTCTCACGGACGATCAGCCGATCGATTAAGTCGGGTGCCGGACCGGATTGGGCATCTCGTGAAGCAAAAGGGGAAGAGTTGGACGTTCCCGAGATCAGGTAGCCACTTGCCTCTTCCAGGGCGAGGGGGGTGACTGGCCCAGGACTGCGGAGAGGGTCCAAGCGGGGGGCCGACGGACTTGGTGAGAGTGGCCGGGAGGGTGTCTTCGACAAGGTCACACCCTCGACGAGTTCCTGATACTGCCACATCGCGTCCCGGGAGCCCGAGGTGGTGCGGTAGGCAGAGGGCCGCGGTTGACGTGGGGAGGGAGGTTGTCCCTGAGAACCGGCTGCTGAGTAGACCGCCGGATGAAATCGGGGCAGGTTGCTTAGATGGAAGGCTGGAACGGATTTGGTGGGATTCTGCGTCCGGGAACGGGGTGGTTGAGGAGAGGAAGAACGTGCAGAGGGAGACATGGAGGAAGTGACCACGGGTGAGTAGAACGTGGAACTATCTGAACGCATTCTGGCTCTGGCTGATGGACGGAGGGAGGGATGAGGGTGTGGGCGACTTCTGTGATGAGTCGGCTTCTCTCGGACCTTGTTATACGCCTGGTCACGATGGGCGAAATAATAGCCCTTGTCGAACCGGCCTGTCAAAGGAGTGACGGGGAGGTCGTCCTGGTGCGTGTGGAAGGACGGCTTGGGGATGGGGATGGGCCTCGAGATAGAGGTCGAGAGGGAGAGAGTCTCCAAAGAGTCCGTAGTTTCTGAGAGAGGTGACGGAGACCGGGAGGAAGGAGGATTATATGTGGAAGAGGTTGCCGTTAATTCTTCCAAGGACGACAGCGATACTCGAGTGGGGTGACCGTGTCTGGCAATTAAGCTTTCTAACTGGTCTTGAGCACAAACAGTTGAAGGGTGACGAGAAGGCGGCGACCAGGAAGATGATGAGAGATTGGCTATAGAACACGCGATCAGCACCGGTATGAGTGGACGGGAGAATGTAGGCCAAGTATTAGTAGTAGGAGTAGGCGAGGCATGTCACACGTGTCAGGTGGGGAGGGGATAATCCGGGTCAATTTGCCAGCAACGGAAATCGAGACAATTCATCGTGAGAAAACCATCAAGGGATTGAAAGCCAATTGAAAAGCGACTGCCCCTCCGGTAAGACAAGGTGAGGCCCAAAAAAAAAGTGGAGAGGCATAACAAAGGGGTTATTGGACCCAAGCAATCAAGAAACAATCATTGAAACAGGGACAAGAACATATCAGATGATGTGGAAGCGATACAGAAAAACAATCACTAAAATAGGGCCCAAAAAAAAAAAAAAAAAGGGTGGAGCGGAATCCACTTACCACTCAGTAATGGCGGAGAATGAAGGGAACTGCAAGACGAAGGATAGAGCGAAGGTGACGAGGAAGAGTCTGAGACGGAGGATCGTGGAGAAAGTGCCATTGAGGGATTTATATTTTTTTTCTTCGTTCTTTGTGTTTGACTCTTAATTTTGTTTTGTTTTCTTTTTTTATTATTTTTTTTTTCTCGGTTTCTTCCCCAACCCACAGTGGGACGATTTCAACAGGACCTCAGATCGGTCAATACAGTCGTAGGAGTGGTCGTTACGCACTCCGGATCGACGTCTATCCGACCCCTCAACTGGTAACAAATCATGCGAGAGCTTCCGTTGTTAATCTTTGGGTTTTGCTTTTCTTTTCCTTTTCGGTACACAGTTTTCATCTATTAATTTTTGTTCTTCTCTGAGGAAAATCGTCGAATTTCCCCTGAAAATTGAAGGCCCTAACCAGGGAAGAAGCAACTCTATTCGACCGTTAGCTTGCGGGGGAAACCAACCAAAGAGCCAACATGGCGTCATGGGGAGGGGCAGAAAGTGACGGTAAGGAGACTAAGTGACGGTACGGGTGCGGTTACGGATGATTAGTTCCACTTTGCGTCTCCACCCCCGGTCATCTGCGAGGGATTTAAATCTGGCAAGCGCGGTACGTTGTGATTGGAGTGAGAGGCAATAAAAAAAAAAAAAAAGACAAAGGGAGGCAAAACGCCCAAATAGGCAATACTCACATTTGAGACCACTTATCTTAGGCGTGAAGTTTGTCAAACGGTGGAGCTGAGGTGATCTTTGACTCAATGAGGTCCCCTGCCAATAAGTATAAATTTCCGTTTTGGTGACTGACGGGGTTCCCGCGGAAGCGACGGACACTAGTAGAGATATGGCTAGTAGGGAACATGGATCATTGACACATCTCCACGGCTGCAGGACACGATGATGGAAAACACATAGCAAATGAAGAGGAATACGAGTGTATTGACTGGAGTAGTGGCGGAATGGTGAATGGTCGCAGAAATAATAAATTTAGTATGGTGTCTACGCTGGTGCGCATCAGAAAAGCCAATAAACTTTCAGTGTGTATGCAAGATGCCAGCACTGGAAGTTCTCGGCGAGAAAGCGGCGTTCAAGCACATTGCACGGGTGTCGATTGTTAAACAGCAGGACTCGTAGTGACACTTTATACAGAGTAGAAAGCAAGACGGGGGGCTGAGTACGTCCTTTTAAACGGAGCCGTACATGACTGATACCATGTTCAACCGACAAACGAGAAACCTGTTGTAACCACACGCGGTAAAATCGGCTGACCTAGACCCTTCGGTTTCCCATCACTACTACTACTACTACTACTACTACTACTACCGGGCAGGCAAAACAAGGCACCAGTCAGCATGGAGAGTGTCCAGTGTTGAATAATACTACAAATGATACTGAGTCTGCATCCAAAAGGGAAAGGTTGAAACCCATTTTCCCACTCGATCAGTCAACGGTCTATCGTCAAGGAGGGTCAAAGTGGGCGATGACTGGGAGGACGTTCGAGTGTGATAGACTTAGTGCCAGCACTAGCGGCCGACTAGTCTGCAAGTCATCCCCACGCTAGCTGATAGGTATCTGAAAAGACGATCCCCTTGATTTGTGACCCCAGATCCGAACAAGTCGGTACGCACAGTCGATCTTCAACTGTCGGTGCAACTTGACTAGGTTATGAAGAATCTCGACTAGTGGGTTGACTCGACAGACTTTTCACACACGCGCTAACGCCATCAGAATGCCACTTCCACCCTCGATGGGCTCATCATCGATCATTCAAGATACATCGCTGGATAGTATCGGATCGTCTCTAGGCAGAGATAAGTAGTGTGTGATAAGCCCTAAGCCACCCACACTGAAACGGAGGGATCAGGCGACTCCCCCACCACCATCACACTGACCACCGACTCCACACTGGGTCACTCCCAAAGACCACATATCCCATGTATTGTTTTCGGATGCGCTCGTTTGCCGTGATTTTATTGTGTTCTTGTTCTGAAGACTACTAGTCCACCCTGACATCCAATAATGGCCACAGGATCTCAAATCCAATTCCATCGAGGGGTCGACCTTTGCTGTATACGACTCAGTTACTCACGGCGAAATGTCTCCACTTGGAAAAATAACAACAAAAAAAAAATGCTGCAGATAGTGAGTACGCACACCCAGTGGCTTAGTTTTACAGCCTTCTTTCTTGCATTTTATAATTTCTTTTTTTGACAAATTTCCTTTCCCTTGCTTCCCCTATAATCGGATCTCTTCAATCAGATTTTCAGAATTCTCAGCTAACTAAAATGCTCCTGTCTCCTAGGCTCGACCCGCCGAGACGGTTAAGGCGTAACTAGAGATGCAGGCGCAGTTGAAGCCCAGCAGTATGACTCAAGAAAAAGAGACTAACATATACTGTAGGGGAGGGTGTCGTCAGACGCAACGTCGACCTCCAGTCGATCATTCGAGCCCATGAATGACGATCGGTCATGCGTCACCAATGTGATTAGATAGACCCCTGCATAGCTGAGTCGCTTGTGATAGTAGGTGGGTGTGTACAAAATACCTTTCTTGTACGTTATTGTTCCCCATCTACCTACCACACCTTCCCCTCCCTTTCACTGAGTATGCTAAAGATAGCACCATGGTTGTATTTGAGACATTTACGCGGCCAGAGAGGGCAGTCATAGCGGTAGCTCTATTGGCGCATGCAGAGGAACACAGCAGTTGCCTAGCGGATGGCTTCTGACTCTAGTGTGCCCCATCATGGAATACAAACCCAGCCACTGATGGCGCGTTGAAATCTAAGGGAGTGCTTCTCATGACTACAGGCACCAGCATTAATGTGGCTCGGAAATAACGGCGCTGTCCATAGCTCGCTGGAAACAGGGTTTAATCCCTCGCACATGCATTGCATGAATTGGCCTGAGCTATAAGATCTTGTTGCATTAGGTTGCACCGCACTGGAGGGATGGCTGCAGATGCAGGAGCAGACCTCCGGAGCTGCCAGGGCAAGTCTGTGCTCTATTGACTCGATCTATGCTCGATGACGAAAGAAAGCATACATGGTGTCATAGGGGTGCGGATCTATTGCCCCAATAAGTCTGTATGTAGCACCTGCGCTAGTGAAGATACAAATCACTGTATGCGCCTCTTCCTACCAGCTGGTCATGAGCTTATTGATCCTGAAGCGGCCATGGCAAAGAGGCTTTGGATTAAGCCCCTGGGTACGTATCTTCGGCTCTATCTACGCGAGGCAAAAGTCTACTACGAAGTGCGGGGTTTATCTTGTATTTTGCTTGCTGCTATCGGGGCGGATGAAACTGAAACGTAGAACCGTATCACCTGACAGGCCCTGGTCTATTTTCAGACTATCCCTCGTTTTTGGTTACACCGTTTGAAACATGTCCATACTTTAAGTGATGAACCTTCCCGTCTCGCTTCGTTCACTCAAGTGCAGAAAGACATGTTTCAGCCTCGAGTAAAGGTTGGCACAGACCGTATACCTGACGAGTAACCTCGTATACGGCCTGAGACAGTCTTGTTTCTCGCTTGACCTATTAAAAAAGGTTGCTAAGGAGCTATCAGCTCCTATCAGTTGTGAGGCCTCGCCCCGTATTCTCCATCTACTCGAATGAGAATTGATGCCTGCCCGCAGCACTTTGAGCCACAGCATCCCCTATTCAAACGTTATCGATGAACCAAATAACATCAAGGTCCACAGTTTGACAAGAAGAACTACGATACATATATTTCAAGCCTTGAAGAAAGAGTAGCATGATACAGATTGCTGTAAACATCTATTATTGCAATCATTCAACATGGTTAGGACGAGAAACAAAAGGCCTTCACGGAAGCTCCTGAAAAGAACAACTCTGGGACAGGCGACAAATGCCACATTTAGTGTCGATTGATTCTTTTCATGTACTTCTCGTCCGAATTAAAAGAACATCCACAGGTCACAATGATTAATGATCCGGTACTCACTGAGATAAGACCGTCTCAGTGGTCGGCGCAGATGCTACAGGGGTCCAAGTAGGGGCGACTATTCTGTAAGATCAGAAATTTGGTAAAGTCCCTTTACCTCCAATTCTTGTCTTATTCTACTTGCTTGCTTAAATGAAAAGATAGCTTAATTCAAAGTATAGGACTTGATCTTCTTGAGCTTATTCTCTTTGTGATATCGGCTGGGTCCGTGTAGGGTACAGTGGTCGATTATATTTATCCCGAGATCAGCGAGTATCTGCGATATTATAAACAAGCTTCTCCCCACGAATTGTACCGTCCCGTAAGAGCTGAAGTCCGTCCAAGATACCGTTTAGCCCGGCATTACCGACCCTAGGGGGATGTGTCTTGATCTTGCCACTGGCCAGCAAGTCTTGGAAAATGCCGGAGAACTGTTCCATAAAAGCCCTATCGCCTGGCTGAGCCGGAATCTCTCTTGGCCCGAACTTAAAGCTCCGACCAAATGCCGTATAGGCCATAGTTGATCGATTACGGATATTCTCACGCTCAGTCTTTATCGGGAGGAGTGAGCTGTAGTCGCCGCCCTTGGTGGATAGCGCATGATCGCAGTACGTGGCACTACTCTCCACTGATATTGTATCGAAAGCTAACGTAAGGCTGTCATTCGTTTGCTCTCTGATCGCCCTGGCGGAGGTTGGGTCATTGTAATCGAAAGCAGCATCGGCACCCAGGTCCCTGACCTGATCGAAATGGCGAGGGGAGCAGGTTGTCAGAACTTGATAACCTGATAACTTCGCAAATTGAATCGCCAAAGTTCCGGTAGCTGATGAGCCCCCGTAAATCAAGACTGGGGTTTGATTCTGAATAGGAGCGATTGGGAGAGCAAGTTTGAGACTCTGATAAAGCCCAAGAGCGGCGGTGGTAACTCCAAGTCCCAAAGTCGCCGCCTCTTCAAATCCTATGCTGTTAGGGATTCTGTATTGAAGGTCGCCTTCGACGATAATATATTCAGCGAAGGCTCCATCCTCGGGTTGGACGGCATTGGACCCGTGGACAAATCCACAGATCCGGTCTCCTTTCGTGAATGGCTTCTTCACATTTTTGCCGACTGCTTCCACAGTTCCGGCATAATCGCACCCAACGAGGACGCCAGCGGGAGCCAGGAAGTCAATATGTTTCCAGTCGGTGGGATTCAACGCGACACTGACAGTCTTGACTAAGATACAATCGTCACGCAGCTTCGGAATGGCTCTATCGCTCACTACCTGCGCATGCTTTGGCGAAGTAATGATGACTGCTTTCTGTGATGCCATGTCGGTGTGATTGGATCCAAGAGTAAAAGTGTCTTTTGAAGAAGTGTATAGAAAGCTGTTCATAGTTTCAGGATGGTGTCCTCGCTAATAAATACTCATATACCAGCCTGACTTGGTTGCTCCGTTATACCGGGCACATCCCCGTTTATCTCCGATTCCTCCGACAGGACCTACACAGTACCCATTTGATATCCAATAGGATTGAATCTGTAAGCAGCTTGCATTCTCCTTCCCGTGGCGTAGGGTAATGATCCACTCAAGCAAGTTCTGGCCTCTAGTGGGTCATAGAAGCTATCTGTGATTGGTGAGGTAAGCAAGGAACCTTGGTATCAGTGTCTTAAAGTGCGTTTATCTAACAAGCCCCACCATTCAAGCAATCTGAGAACTAAAGAACCCTGGAATCACGAGCGGCTTCGGTACGTAATCCGTAGCAACGCTGATTCGGGTACGAATGATATCATTACTAAGAAGCTTGGAGGGAACGGATCGGTATAAAGCCATAAGGGACCTGGTTCCGTGATCCTGTGTGTTCATGACACATTCTTCCAGTTGGTGAACTATCTATTGATACCTTATCGGTTCAGAATTAATACGTAATGGCGCCGAAGCTGAGTCTCACGTCTACCCAAAATATCTGTTCGGAGTATACAATTCCAGTGCTGGGATATGGAGTACGTGAGAATGATCGCCCTGATCTAGTATTAAAGCTAAAGCTAACATCATTTTCCAGCTTTACCAAGTGTATGCCAGGAAATATTCACGTACGATGAAAATGGTGCTGATGGTATCAGCCCAGGCGCAATTGCTGAGGATGTCACCGAGAGAGCTCTCAAAGCTGGATATCGTCATGTGAGACACCTTTCCGTCCTTTTCATTCATGTTAAGCTGCCACTGCTGACATTGCGATCTTGTAGATCGATTCAGCTGCAGTGTATAGGAATGAAAGAGAGTGTGTCTCTGCCGTAGAAAAGGCTGGACTGAAGCGATCCGATGTATTCCTAACCACGAAGGTTTTGCCGCAAGCTACGGGGTATGAGGCAGCGAAGCAAAGCATTAAGGACAGCCTGAAGAAAGCAAAAACAGATTATTTTGACCTGTGAGAAGCTCCCTGTCGTACACTATGCGCCAATTAAGCTGACTTTGGAAGAATCCTTCTCCATGCCCCCTTTGGGGGTAAAGAGGGCCGTCGTGGCGCTTGGCGTGCTTTGGCAGAAGCACAGAAAGCGGGAAAGGCGAGGTCAATCGGTGTGTCCAACTTTGGCCTTCACCATCTAGAAGAGTTGGAAGATTACATCAAAAGCAGTGGGGAGGGAAGAATCGAAGTTGGCCAATATGAGCTCCATCCTTGGCTTGGACGTGCTGATTTAGTCGACTGGTTGCATAAGCGTGGTGTGGTTATTGAGGCCTATTCCCCGCTGGCCAGAGGTACAAGAATGGATGAGCCTGTTTTACGCGCAATCAGCGAGAAACACAAGAAAAGCCCGGCTCAGGTTTTGATTCGCTGGAGCCTTCAGAAAGTAAGTATTTAGCCAAGCCTTTGTAACTAGTGAATTGGCTAATGTTCGGCCTTTGCCTTTCACCTAGGGTTTCGTGCCACTGCCCAAGTCCGCTACCCCGGAGCGGATTCTAGAGAATGCGAATGTGTTTGACTTCGAGCTAGATGAGGACGACATGCAATCTCTGCATACGGATGAATATGCACCTTCCACCTGGGATCCTACTGTACAACAGGATTAGAGATATTATCATAGTTGAAACGAACTGATTATCCTCGTATACGTCATGCACTACTAAAAACCTTCTTCCAAACGAGCGGTTTTTCACCCCTCCTGACTCTCCATTTATTTGTCGAAAGAAGAATCTCAGGGCAACCTCGAAGGAAGAAGCGCCACTTCCTTGCAAAATCCTCCGTGACCTCCCAGTTCTCGGGATCCCAAGGTGTTCCCCATACAAGCATTGTTGCGTTGCTACTACGTGTATCCCAGAATGCCGTGAGGTCATGGCACAACTCATCATCATCTAAATCTTTCCCTGCACGGATGAGATTGTCCCTCATTTGTGGAATTGGGAAGATATCAAGCCATGGGTGGTGCGGCACGGTTCGCTGCAATGGCGTTGGTTGTAAACTGTGAGGAATGCTATCCTCACAACCTCGTGGGCTGGCCAAACTAAAAATGGAAATCGTACTATCTCGGCACATCCATTCGACAGTCATACCAATTGCAAGCACGTTTTGGTAGGCTGCTCGTAGAACATTTAACCTACTCAAATTGAGGAGAAGGTCTGTTCTCGGCGAACCCTCGACATAGCGTGCCATGGCTCGCCGCTCGAACTGGGTCATAAGTTCATGTACATTTGGAGGGGCAAAAGTACACTCTAAGTGCTGCACCTCGGATAGCCCGCACGTAATCGAGTCATGTTGCGCCGGCGACTTTGCGGTAGTCGCGACAAGAGTAGGGTGGCGGGGACCAGCGGACGCAGGTTGGGCACTGTTCGTCTGCCCTGCTCCTTTGTCCCGCCCTTGTCGGCGTAAACCTGCAGTCCGGAATAACCGGGCTTCGTCAGTTTGCGGTGGGCATTGGATCTAATTTGGGTCAAATGAAATTCTCACGGTAGGCTCTTTGGTTCAGCCGATTTTGTAACCTGCGTCGCGCAGCCGGGTTGGTGACACCGGTCCAGTCCTCATCGGGGAAATATGCCCGTGACTGCTGTGGCATCCGCTGAAGGCTCATTGATAAGCTTGAATCCACTAATTGCGAGGTCCTTAGCCTCTCTGTCATCATGGTTATAGGGCAAATATTTTCTCGGTACTCGGTCGTTGTGACATGAACGTTGCGGTAGGAGACCTTAGGGAACGGGACGTCATTTGCTTTAATCTTAGCTTTAAATAAGACGCTTACATCTTGTAATTCATTGGCGGAAGGTCCGCATGTGGCCCACTTGGAGGCGGACCCTGGATTTCTAATCATTTCTTGAGTCCTGCATAGTTGATCGGGATTAGGGTTTATTGGCCAACCATAGTCGCGAACGGGGCTACTCCGTAAAGCCGGAACTAAGTCCGAAAACTTGCCCTATCTTTGGTGGTTTCATGAAAGCTTGATCGAACCATACTACGCTGTTCTATTCCAAGGGGTCTATACCAATGACGGAATGGCAGAGGGTAAGCAGCTTATTATTCATCATGCATTGTGACCATCAAAGCAACGGAGAATTGCGTGAAAACCACTCTCTGTGCTTCCCCACTACCTAGTATAAAGCAAGCCCGTTTCTGCAGTTATGTGGGAATATCAATCGCGTTAAAAATTTCCATCTACAAAATTCACTGTCCGAGAAAACATGGCTACTCATCCTGCACTTCAAATAACGGGCATCAAGGAGCCGTTGAAGTTGGTGCAAGTCCCGACCCCAAAGCCCCAGCAAAATGAAGTCCAAGTTCGCATAGAATGGGTGCCTTCCGCACCCTTGGACGTGTACCAAGTGGATGCTGGCTTAATGGTCCAATTCCCTCAGGGTCTCGGTGACAGTGGTGCTGGTACCGTGGTGGCTGTTGGGCCCGGTGTCGAACGCCTTCGTGTTGGTGATCAAGTCTTTGGTTTCTTCTTTCACAACGAAAAGGAGAAGGGCCAACAGATCTATGTAACCGCACCGGAACATCTCTTTGGAAAGGTCGGTATATACATTGTTTGAATAATTACTCTTCAGCCACGTTCTATAGAGCTGACCAACGAACCAGGTGCCCCCAAGTGTGTCGCTGGCCGCCGCGGTTACGGTGCCGACAAACTTCTGTACCGCATTTCTGACTCTCTCTGACAAGCTTGGGCTGGACCTGCCTTGGCCACGTCCCTCCAACTTTACCCCTCTGCACCAAGACGCACCGATTCTCGTCTGGGGGGCAGGTAGCTCCGTTGGTCAATTCGCAGTCCAGATCCTCAAGCATTGGGGATACACGAACGTAATCGCAACGGCATCTTCCAAGCACCACGAAAAGATCAAAAGCTACGGCGCCAAACATGTCATTGATTATCAAGACCCCAAAGCTGTTGACTCGATCCTCAAGATATTGAACACAGAAAGCCCCGCCATTCCCATTCGTGCTTTTGACTGTGTCTCCTCGAAGTCTGGGTCACTACAGCATATCGCCACAATCACAACCCTGCCAGGCTCAATAGTGGCCGCTGTTCTCCCCGTTGTTACCCGCTCTCCTTCAGATAAGGAGGGCGTGCAGGTTTCAGCTGACGTTGCCGGGGAAGCACCCTGGATGTCTGGTGTGGAAGTCCACAGCGTTATAAGCTATGCTTATGAAGCGGTATGTACAACATTCTCACTTCCATCGTCCTGGTTTGGCTTTAGATAGCTGACTTTGCAATAGGATGCCTTCCTGAAAGATCATCTGTTCCCGGAGATTGTTCCCGCGCTGCTCGAGTCGGGTGCCATTGAGCCGAATAAGTATCGTGAAATTGAAGGTGACTCGCTTTTGCAGAGGGCTTCCAAGGCTCTGGATACCTTGAGAAGCGGCACTGTTAGTGGTGAAAGGCTGGTTTGGAAGCTTTGGACCAAGGAGGAATACCCGCAGTATGAGTAGACTGCCTTGGCTTGATATGTGGAGGATAGCTGAACATACTACAGAGCTAGATGACTGTGTTGAACCAATTGTGGAACTTGGAGACCAAGTCGCTTGAATTTAAGAGATATAGTAATTGGCGCTTTCGGGATTTATGGCTCGTTCACGAGCACCCTGGACTTCCTCAGTATTGTCTATACTGTAGAGCTCTGTAGGCTATTACAAAGGAGTCTGTGCGTTAACTTTCATTATCCTTAGTTGATTAGTTTCTCACCTTCTCAAGGAGTGATAAGGAGGAAAGAACCTGTATAAATGAAAGATAAAAGTATTGGCTGATCTACTTGAAGATATCACGGACAAGGAAAGGGACATATCAAGAACATAAATCTACTCATTCGCATCAGCTAGATTTAGACAAACATCATCAATATTGAAAACTTGATACCGATATACGCGTATTCTGCACATTGTATCATTGCATGTTGGAACAGTATTCAATAGACAATTGGATTCTTAAACCGCCGTTCACTACTTTCTACTCTGTTCTACTCCTTAACTGTGAACCAATACACAAGTACCGCTATTAGATACCACTAACAACCCCCTTTCCAGCAATCTTACCATCACGGTGATCCTGAATTGCACGATCAATAGCACTCAAACCACCAGAGTATTCCGTGAACTGCACACCCTTCAAGGTTCCTTCACTTAATGCTTTTGATGTCCAAACCCCAATCAAGGAGGAGAGAAATTCCGCATCCTGCCAATATCAGCACATCTATACTCCTCTTTTCAACGAAGAGTAACTTACCAACTCCCCCAAAATATCAACAACATTCGTATGTACCAAGTCAATATTCAGCCGTCTCAGCGCCTCCAAAAACTGCACATTGGCCACCTTACCCCCCTTCACTCACAATATCCAAACAAGCATTACACGTCTCCTGGGACGAAATAGCATCAAACGCAATCCTAAACCCATGACCCTGCGCTTTCACTTGCTTAGCCACATCCCCATCTCCGTAATCGATAACATGACTAGCTCCCAGACTCCTAACATAGTCAAAGTTCTTGGCGGAGCAAACAGCCCTGACTTCAGCATGTGACGCCTTGAGAAGCTGGCTCCGCCCCAGACAAGTACTTTTGGGGCTTCAGTCGGAGCAGAGGACGGAATCGGATAGGGAAAGTCGAGGGATTTGAAGACGGCAGTGGCGGAGCCATGGTGAAAGCATCTTCAAATTTATGTATCTCTAAGATGTGTTGTCGGGTCGAGCTTTCAGTTCTTTAACCTGCCGAACTTAATCAAAGGCTGTGTCGGCTGAGTAAGTATTCAGACTAGTTAGACCAAATATGATTTTGGCTTGACTTCTCTCTGCTCCAGGAGCAGACCCGCACAGAGGAATATATGGACCTCCGCTGTCGGACAATCTTCCTCTACGCTTCTGAGCTGAACAGGCATTTTTCTGTTTAATTTTCGTTTGGGCACAAAAGATAGTCAGATACATGAGCGTCATATAGTAGTAGAGCTGGTACGTTCCTTCGTCGTCCCTTCTTGATGTTCACTTGGCGGTTTGGTCAAAACCTGGAGATTGGACCCACGGGTTTTGGCGAAGTCTAACCTGAACCAATCATATTAGATAGGTGACGGAGACGATTATCCTTGCCTAGAGGATTTCGTAGCATACCAGATAAACTGCGTTGGTCTAAAAAGAACCGGAGAAAAATCCTATTTCCGAACAGCGTTTATGGAGTCGTCGTTGAATGACCACTTGGTATGTGGCAATGATCGACGCCACGTCACCCGTGCGAAGGTGCGGGTGGCTGGCTGGCTGAAGAGCCCTAAATCTCTCTTCGCAAAACCATTATTCGTGAGACGAAAAGAGAATAAACTCTAGAGTCCGTGCCTGCCCTAACATTGTACATACTTCCTCCATTCTCAAGCATAATCCATACTGGAGCAACTGCAGAACAAGAAGCCTAATCACACCGCAATTTGATTCTTCTCCTGTTGACCCTACCTCATTTGCAATCAATGCTCTCCTCTCTTTCTTGGCTGCCATATCTCATCACATTGGCAAGCCTTGACAGTGCCTATAAATACGAGCATCGCTATGCTGTCGTTTTATATCGACCCAACGCAGGCCTTCCCTAGAAGTATCCCGAGTGACGTCCCCCCAACAATCCAGCAAACCAACAATCATGTCGGTGCAGCCACGGGATGAAAGCGGAGAGTCAAAGAGTTATACAATTCTACGTGTGCACAGATATGACTCGAGCACACAGGCCGCGACGCAGAAACGTATCATCGAGATTGGTGATTATCAGGCCATCCAAAACCAAAAGTTGGATTTAATCAGGTCCCTCTTGGTTAGCGAGGGGGTCTTCGATTCTCCAGAGTATGAGCTACTGAATAAAACCCTTTGAGAATTTCGACATGACTTAACATACCCCTAGTGTTGGAAGCCCATTTTGCGACGAGAAGGGGTCTGAACTGTCCGACACAACCAACCTGAAGGTGTACTTCAACGTCGTTGGAGCCGATGCACCAAAGGATGAGGTATGAGAAATGTATAATCAATATTCCATGCAACATCTTCTAACACTCCTGCAAGGAATCCTCGGAAAGTGCAGGTCGTGATTTAAATGTATACTATAAGAAGAAGAGGACGCGCACGGAGCTAGACGACGAAACGAAAGATTTCCTGAAGAAGCAACTAGACCTGAACCTAAAGGTCTGTCCATTGCCCAAGTACCTCTCATAGTTGGCATCCATCTGCTAAGTTCAGAAATAGGACCAGGAACTGTCCGAGGCCGACGTTAAACGGCTTAAATCTACATTCGATTTAAGTCAGTGGAAAGCAACGGCAGGAGCCAAGCAAAGGTGAGAGAGTCTCCTGTCAATGGTGCGGAAAGCTCTCATAAATCTATCTCTAGCCATGCTGCCGATCTCAGTGAATCGGAGTGGAGTATCATTACTCGCACGAACTGTCTTCTCAGTGGCCACAAAATGGTGGTATACCGGAAAAGGCAGCCTGATGGCAAGACTACCCAAGAAATGAGAGTTGAGCGCAGCCCCTACAGCGGTAGGTGATATTTCAGTTTTTTTGTGGCAGGCTAGGCTTGAGTTGGGACTGATCCACGGCATCCTGTAGCTTTCAGACTGAAGAAAAGAGATTTCGAGCCGTATGAAATATCGGCAAATCGCAAAGCAGCAGGTGTCAGTTATGGAACACCAACGGCTGCTACAACATCGAAGGTAGGACCGTGGGAGATTTGGATTTTCTAACCTGCCCTGGGCATGGCTGATGATATATATGTCATGCTAGCTTGCATTCAGGATCCCTCGGTTCCGAGTCGATGACAACTCACAAGTGAGCGTTTATGAGACGCAGAACGCTCTTGAAACTTCACTTGCAAAGAGCGCATTTTCTGAGACGTCAGTAGAAGCGTCTGCGTAAGTGGTATCATAGGTTCCTCTAATGGCCGGTGGTGGCTGACCTCTGATATTATATGACAGCGGCGGTGGCTTCTGGGGTGTATCGGCCGCAGTTAGCGCTGGATTTTCTCATAAAGATGAAACCCAATCAGTTACTGCAAAGTCTGAAGAGAAGAAGGTGATGAATATTGTTTACAAGGTACATTCTAGTGGAAAGAAATTGTTGAACATCAAACGCTCACCAGTAACAGTTTCCACGTGTCACGTTGTACCTTGACCCGGGCTCTCTTGAGGTCACTGATGAATGTAGAGAGGATGTCGAAAAAGTTGTGAACAAGGAGACATTGATAGCCTTCAGCAACAAGTAGGGTTCGTAACCTTCCTCTCCTATATTGCTCAACTAGTCGGTTAATTAATGCTTAAAGGTGATATATTTTCCCAGCGCGCCCAGCTAGGCGGTTCTCTCTTCGCAAGCGAAGACAGCACAGCTGTTAGTAACCAGACCAAGGAGAGTAAAGCTAAGGCAATGAAAGCCTCCGCTGCTGCCTCCTTCTCATCAGCATTTGCGCAGGCGTCCGCCAGCGCAAGCCACAGCAACGGATCGAGCTCTGGTGAAAATAAATCAAATCAGGACCTCACGAACTCAATGGCCTGGGAGGCGATCGGTGGTGACTCTTTGCTATGTAACAAGTATGCCATTTGGAAGTATGGGGTAAATAACTGGGGTAATATATGCTAATGATAACGTTATAGCCCTCCAGCGTGGTGTGCTACCGTTGGTGACTTCTACAACTGGAGGGTGATTGAGGTACGTCGACTTATTTATGTCGGGTCATCGAGCCCTGGACTAATGTACAACACCACAATAAAAGCAAAACGGTGTCCTCCCACTTTACAAGGTGCTGAGTTTATTCGACGGTTTTGACGGTATTCAGCATCGATTCGAGGCCAGCGCACAAGACAAATACCAACCGAATCGATGGGTCACGTTTAAATTTGAGCTTTTCGATAGAGCTACACAGAACCCTCTGGCAGTGTACAAAGGCGACGATAAGTCACTCCGTATTGCGCCCTCTCTTTCCCTTTCTCAATCATGGTGGCATGGTCATAAATGCTATCGTTGTCACAGCTAACCCATGCCCAGGGAAGCACTTGAGTACCGAATTCAGGAAATTAGCGGACGGTGTCGCCGCGCCATTTGACAAATATAAAAAGGATACCTTAGCGAAGGTGGCCCAATGGGATAGCACTCTACGCTGTGATGACACCAAAGGTGGCTCACAGGTCTGGATGATGCGACATAATCTCTCTCGAGGTCAAGATTCGCATGTATGCAATCCACAGCTACTTCCTCATCCACCCATTCTCACCCATTCAGATGGCTAACATCATCGCAGCTGCCGGGTAACACTAAATCTATGCTGCAAAATGTCAACATAGACAATAATCGCCTCTATGTGGCCTTTACAGACCCCTTTCCCGGTTATTACAACCAGAGATACCTATACCCCAGCGACTCTTGGTATGCGGGGAGGAATTTCTGCTTGGAGCCATTTGAAAGTAACCATGCTACAATCGAAGAAGGCACAGAGGTTTGGTTAAAAGCTACTCATGACAACCGTTACCTTGCTAAGGCGGAGTCCGGACTAGTAACACTTCGAGATTGGGACGTTGCCAAGGCTAACGAGTTCTTGGTCTTCCAAGTGCGAAATATAAAGATGGAATCAGAGTGAATACTCAATCAATGCTTCAACAGCACGTACAAGTCCCTAGAACAGATTCTTTCAACAGACTTATTTCATTATATACCTTTAATAAAAACTACAATGGAAACACAGGTTGTTAGAAACTGTACTCCATAACGCTGTAACAGAGGAACCTAGGGCTAAATATTAGTTATACTTGTATTCAGCACGTATGGGTAGTTTTGAGGAACTGGAAGTCTCTCACAGACAAGGCGCTCAGAGACTTACTCGGTCTCCTAGACGGGCTTCCATTTGCATTAGCGCAGGCTGCCTGGTATTGCTACAATGCCGGACTCGATACTACATTATATATTCGGTTATACAAGCAACAGTGACATAACTCGATCAGATTGGACGAGCCCAGCATGTTACTAGCGGAGCATTAGACTTACTAAAGGATAAAGGGAAATAACAGAGAAACAGATTAAGCATACGACCTCGCTGCCATTTGCGCCTCGACTCACCCCAGCACATTCTGCAGTAGGCATGATTTAGTTCTCTCTGAAGGGAGGAATTAAAAGCCTAAGTGGGAGCCACATCATACAATCATCAACCCTTGGAGTTTACTAAGGTAGCGGCGGCAAAGTGTGATTACGGATGTTGCCACCCTGTAGTCTTAAAAAGTATCTTCCAATCATCTGTCTATGGTCGCTTGCGACCACCATATCCCTGAGGTTATTGTCCCAGTCAATCTATGGGTCATTATTATTTAATGAATTGTTTCGGCAGATACACGCTTTCCGGAAACCGGTGTCACCCTTCATACTCTTTGATTGTTTTTCGAACCCTAATGCCAAGAGTATCTAGTCTACATTAGGTAATAGCGTAATAATAATGTTCCGAAACCTTTAATCCGTAGTTATTGTGATAGCATGTTAAGTAACAGAAATATTGTATAGTAACTGTATCAACGGCCCATGGTTGCCGGAAGCTGTCAACAGTCGCCTTATCCAATTCCTAGCCATAGTCGAAGTGGCATTTTAGGACCTTATTCCAGGATTATACCACTTTAGAGTAAATAATGCTCCAGAAAGTACGGCCTTTCTTAAGTCGGGCTTCTATGTCCTTTCAGGTTCTCTCTGATCTCCATCTTGAGATTAACCTGCAGTATCCTCTTTATGACATTCCAGTTTGTGCGGAATATCTTATCCTTGCAGGTGATGTTGGGCGCTTAACGGACTATGATGATTATCGCAATTTCCTACAAAAGCAGACAGACCGATTCAAATTGGTATTTCTTGTACTCGGAAATCATGAGTTCTATAATGGGACTTTCGCGGCAGGGCTGGAAAAGGCTAGACAACTTGAACAGGAACCTTCCTTGAAAGGACGATTAATTGTTCTTCATCAGAAACGATATGATGTCCCGGGTTCTTGTATCACTATTCTAGGCTGTACGCTTTGGTCAAAAGTGCCTCACGAGTCGAGGGATATCGTCCAGTCGAAGGTCAAAGATTTTCAAAAAATCGAGGGCTGGTCAGTTGATGACCATAATGCAAACCATAATTCAGATCTCGCCTGGCTACTGAAAGAGATACATTCGATACATCAAGAAAATGGAAAGGCAGAAAAGCGGAGTAAAAAAAAATCTATTCTTGTTGTCACACATCACGCTCCTCTACTTCAAAGGACATCGAGCCCACAACATGCACAGAACCCTTGGAGTGTTGCCTTTGGGACTGATATCCTATCGCAGACACTAGATGGGGTGAAAGTCTGGGTGTTCGGGCACACACATTATACCACTGACTTTAAGGAGGGGGAGGTAAGAGTTGTGAGCAACCAACGGGGATATGTGCTGCCTTGGAACAATTCGAGGAATACACAGGATAGATTTGATGTGAAGAAGGTTATACGTGTATCATGAAGGTTTGCATGTACTTTTCAGCCTTTAGCCTATGTCATAGCAGCAGAGTCCTCATGTGAGCTATAGATTCTCATTATACACCTGTTCCTCCTAATCACCAAATTATAGTTAGAGGAGTTTATTTATTGCAAGGTGTTGGGCTGAGAAGCGATGCAATTAATTTGTGGTATAAGTCACTATTATACATATTATTTCTCTTCAACGGTTACGCCAGCGTTCCGGAAATACCCCTTTTGCACTCCCTTCCCTTGCACCCACAACGCCAATACACCATTCAAGAAAGGTATTGAATCCTTGACTGAGGTTGTCTTCGTAGGATTTCCAAGGGCGCCGAATAAAGGCTTTTAGCTCAGCAAAGAACTCTTCAATTGGATTCAGATCTGGTGAGTACGGTGGTAAATATATAAGCTTCACTCCTGTTTGTGAACACATTTGTTCTATCCTTTCGGAGTGATAAAAAGATGCGTTATCCATAACTAGGACGGATTTTGGTTCGGGCCATCTTCCACAATGCTGGAGAAGCTCTCCGATAAAATCCTCAAAGACAGAAGCGTCTACCGAGCCTTGGAAGACGCGAGAAAGAACAAGACCATCTTGGGTATATACAGGTAGTATCTGATATCGCTGATCCCGATGGAATTTAGATACTTGGACAGGTACTGTATCAAGAGAAGACCAGCCTGTTCTTCTGAAGCCTATCCGTTTATCACATCCGGATTCATCTACATAAACAAGATGGTATAAGGAAATTTCTAAGATTTTATAAGAATATTTATCACGCAAATTTGAATTTCGCTCTTTTGCTTTTTGCCGGGCTGTCTTCTTTGACTATCCCTTCCGATGAAGAGTATCGGAAATAGTGGATTTCGGTATATGGACTTCGAACTCGTCTAGTAGAAAAAGTTCCAATTCATCTAGGTATAAATCAGGCTTTTCAAATAGATAATCACAAAGGGCACTCCAGCATTATTGGCGTAATACTTTTTGGTCGTCCACATTTGGCCGGGGGCGCTTTGATGCTTCCGAACAAGCGTAGGTTAGAACGAATCCTGATGATGGTCTGTGACTGTACTGTATAGTACAAAATTTACCAGAACTATAATTTTGAGCTATTACTAACTAAGTTTAGTGTTTCTTGGCATTGGGATTTGGAAGACAATCAAAGAGTAGAAGGGGGTGACACCGGTTTCCGGAAAGCGTGTACATAGCCATAGACCTGGACTTTTCATCTTCACCTCAATAGATGTTCAAGCTTCTGAAGGTCGCATTCGCTGATGTGAGTGGAAATATGCCGACCTTGGGCTGAATGCATTCGCCCATTCAGCTGTGGCCCATAATCTTCTTGGGCTCGTACAAATCATCAATACTCTTGATCTCCTCTTCACTGAGCTTGAAATCAATAGCCTGAACAGCCTCGTCCACTCTCTCCTTTTTGCTCATTCCCACAATCGGCGAGGTGATGAAGGGCTTCGACAACACCCAAGCGAGTGCAACAGTAGCCATGGAAACCCCACGACTAGCAGCGATCTCTCCAATCTTCTCATTAATCTTCTTATCCGCGTCAGTGAAAGGGTTTCCCATGAAGCCGCCTTTCATGGACTCCCCACGAGCAGTATCGTTGCTATTCCACGGCCTTGCTAGAAGCCCCATAGCAACAGGACTCCAGGGGATACAGCCCATCCCGAACTTCTGAAGCGCAGGGAACATCTCCCGCTCTTCCTCGCGGTAAGTAGCGTTGTACAGATTCTGCATTGTGATAAACTCCGTCCATCCATTCATCCGAGCAGTGTACTGGTACTCCAGCAACTGGTGCGCAAACATCGACGAAGCCCCGATATACCGGACCTTTCCGGACTTAACAACGTCGTGGAGCGCCTCCATGGTCTCCTTGGGCGATGTGTTGGGATCAAATCGATGGATCTGCAGCAGGTCGACGTACGGCAGATCGAGCCTCTTCAAGCTTGCATCGATGCTGTCGAAGATATGTTTCCGACTTAATCCGTACTGATTTATATATCCATTGTTATCGCGTTCCTCTTGGGACATGAAAAGTGGCATCTCCGAGCCCCGTCCGACAGGCGCCCACACCTTGGTGGCGATGACGATGCTCTCGCGGCTCCAGTTGTACTGCTTGATTGCCTTTCCGAGAATAACCTCCGAGTCGCCATTAGAGTACGTATTGGCTGTGTCGTAGAAGTTGAGGCCTGACCGGTAGCAGTGGTCGAGGACGGGGAGGGCTTCTTCTTCCGGGATTGTCCATTCTAAGGGCTCGCCCGGGGAGCCGAAGCTCATGCAGCCCACGCAGATGGGGGAGACTTTGAGTCCGCTAGTTCCGAGGCGTACGTATTTCATGATGGTTGGATTGATGCTGAGTGAGGGTTGCTTGAAGCTTGGTGCATGGTGAGGCCGGGTGGTAGCCTGGCTTTATATGATGTAACCACCGCGGTCGGAGTTAGGTGGGGTTAAAGTCTTGTTATAGTGGCTTATGTCCGATTGCGTTGGCGTTGTAACCTATACGAAATGTGGATCTTCAGTTGCTTCCCCCTTTGATCCGTTACTAATGAAGTCATTGATCGACCTATAACTCTGTGTCTCAACACGTATATATCGGATGCCTAGGCACATTATTAGTGTCACCGGGTTGCGTAGTCGGAGTAGCCTAATCACACCGGATAGATTATTAGAGTGGCCTTGTTGGAAACCAAGATATTGTATTAGTCGCTATTCAGTCTGACTATACTATTTACGTCGCAGGATGGGGCTAGACTCTATTCTCAAAGTCCGTGCATACCCGAATGGCGTATATGCGAGTGTTGCCTGTAGCTCCACAAATGGCCTTACAAGTCTCCGCCCAATATACTCCGTCGCCAATTATCCACCCTAACAAACCAATAGAATAGACCAACTCTGGTCACTTCAGAATCGCGTAGATATGGTTACAGTAGGGTTTCATGCCCCTGATCCCAGGTGGTCCTCGCACTACGACCACAGACACTTGCCGTGGAAATGGAACACAAACGATAAATGTACAGAAACCAAGATCCTTACTGCGCTCTCAAACCCCCTCACCCGGCTAACAAGCCTCGATGCCAAGTCAATTCGAGTTTCTTAATTCGGAATGGAATAAAGTCAGCCCTACTTACAAGCTGACAACACCTTATCCCCGAACTATCATCCTTGTTTGCAGGGTGTTTGCAGGGTTGTATCAACCACGTGTGGTCACATTTGCCTGTAACCCGTGGTAGATGTCTGAATCAACATCATTAAAGTAGCCAATCGATATCCCTGAAAACAATGATACCTATATACATACCAAGAGAGATGGACATTTCCCCAACTGTGAATCCGTAGTCGTCCTGTCATATGCATGATATTGACGTAGAGCAGATGTCTCCAGCTTAGCTACAACAGCACGTTCTGGTGTTTCTGATTGAGTTGTGTCGTTGGCAGCTGTTATCTTGGGGTATTCTGGCTTAGCTGTGCAGGACAGTGCTCGTTGCTTGGTTTATGTTAATAAATAGGGATACGAATGTTGCTTGCATTTTATACGCTTTTGTGATTGTAAATATGATAAATTGGAGAGAGGTTTGAATAGGATTTAGTACCGTCAGGGTCCTGGGGAGATGTTATTTAGCGTTTGATTGGTTGTAGGGCTACTTGGTGGACTAGGGCGGGTTAATCGAGATAAAACGCTGCACGCGGTAAGGTTACAAGCGGGGATCAGAAATTGAGGATATAGTAGGACAGTTGTAATTTCTAGTGGTTAATATATACGTCTCTAGCCGTAATAAATCATAACAAGCGACAATAAGGAGGAAATTTGTAGTTTCAATTTTGGATACATGCTGTGATTTATACCGATCCAGGCTGCACAAATTCGTATTGTAGAAAAATTCAGTAGAGCTTTTGTCTTTTAGTAGATATGCGCTCGCGATGCTTGTCAACGGTGCAGGGCTCCTCATTGGCACGTCTCTCGCAACACTCATAGATATAGCCCTCTGGGAACTCCTCGAGAGCCTCCCCATTATCATAATCACCGTTATCATATTGGTCATCATCCACGAAAAATTCTCCATCGGGGTGGCAGTAATCTGTGGTATAACATTTAGCCTTCAACAGCACCGAAAGGACAAAAAAAAAAAAAAAAAAAACAAAAAAAAGCTTAAGAGACTATTACTAACCTAGATGAAATTTACAGCTGGTATTTGTGTTTTGCGTGACATCAAACTCCTTGTCACAGTTCTCGCAATAGGCATAACGTTGTCGAAGTCGCTTGGAGCCTGAAGATTTCCGGTTCAACCTTCTCTCCTTGGGCCGTGAGTTTTCGACCTCTGATTCCTCATTCTCCTCTCCATCACTTCCTTCATCCTAACTTGCAATTATAGGGACTTCGTCCTCGGTAATAAGAAGCGATTTCGACACGCGGTCCCTGGTAGATTGATCATCTCGACACATGGCCTTTAGAACTGCCTGGAGTGTATCACGCGACGCCGAGTCGATAGCGTTCAGAAGCAGTTCGAATTGTTCGTCTTGAGGAGCCATTTCCTTAATTGAAAGAGCCATTTTGCCAAGTGTGGAAATTTAGAATGCAGTTGGCGGTTTCTTTCGCTGGCTCAACCCTTATAGGGTTGATTGTTATTTGTCCACGCGACGCGACGCGACAGGCGAATTTACCGCTGGACTGAAAACCTCGTTAAGGGTGAAAACCCCGTTAGTTGAAACCCTCTTGCAACTCGTTATAAGCAATCCGTCCTACTAAATTGCTTATATCGAGGGATCGCCCATGGCAAATGCTCCTTGTCAACAATACTTTAAATTTTTAAATCTTGTATATGGAAATAATATCGTTTGTTTGTAGTGTACCTTTAGTTTGGTCCATAAAGATGACTAACACAATCAAGTATTGGAAGGTAAACTCGCAGTAGAGATTGGACAATTTAGTAAATGAGCATTGATGAAAAGCTAATCCTATACGGCTCATCCCAACAGACTGAAATAGAGACAGCCGAGTGTTTGTAGTTAACAAAGGGAGTCTCCGTTGAGAACGGGGTTTGTATGCAATAGACGCAAAGATATGTACTCGGAAAGAGTTCATCAAGAGCTCAGAATTGCCATTTATGGCACAGGACTACACCGGTAAAAGTAGGAAATATCACTGGGACTCCTATAATTGCTTTGAGCAACAGTATGAAAATGCTACAGCTTATATCCTTTGATCCCGCACTCGTGTTGTGTGCACGAACAGGTCATTCCACCACGTATTATCACAAGCAGACTTGGCAGGCCTAGTTTTACTGTTTCCACTCACTAGGCGAGAATAGAGCATTGAAGTGGAACTCGGTTGAACTATCCCTTGCCAATATGATGAGTTACGTTCAGAAAGCACAGCACACGTATCAGAAAGGTAGGAAGGAAGGGTGATTATCTGGAGATGGCAATGATTTGAGATGTTGAACCGTAAGTGTAGGGAAGTGATGTAGCGAGAAATGGGTACTCTTATGTACGGCAAGGAGCTAGGGCAAACGGAGTTTCTTGTACAGGAAATAGCAGTGTCTCCTCGTCCAACCTCTTGATGGAGAGGAAGAAGATGGGTAAGCTAAACTTCGAGCCTAGTTCCAATAGCATCAGTCAAACCATTTTATAGCCTTTCCACATTTACGCATGGCGTCCGACTCAGCCTGCTCAAACATGCTTTCCTTGCTCGCATAAATGAGGCGTAGCAGCTGTCCGAAATCCATCGATCCTATAGTATTGCAACATGCATCGGGCCGGCGACGTTCAGCTACCGGATTGGGGTCGCTGATGGGCTTGTTGCTATGGCCAACCGGGAGAAAAGGGTTGAGCTCGAGATGACAAGGAAAAAAGAACTATATATGATTGCCGCCAAGGAGCGAGAAGAGGCCATGGGACGTGAGCGTGAACTTCAAAGACTCCGTGACCTACCTTCGTTGGCGGTAGACTTCTGAATCAGAGGACGAGTCATAGGATGAAAGACTTGGCTTCCCAGGCATGAATGGCATGTATAATGAGTCTTTCAATTCTCTACCTTTAATCGATGATTGCGACTTGAATAGCAGAGAGGGAATGGCAGACTTTGACGAAAATGACGAGAATGTTATCGATCTCACAGGGGACGTGGATGGCAACATCAACAAAATTATCAAAAGAGAGCCCAACGAAGCTCTTGGCTGTAATAGTACCCCAATCACTTCGGTAAAGCAGGAACCTTTGAACGAGAACCATCCGCCTCTTAAGGACGAGGTCACATCGAGCCTCCCTTGGGCGTCCGAGACACAGTTAGTATGGTTTCGCGCCACATCAGTGCAGGTTGCGGACGATTACCTCAAGGAGCGAAACATCAAGCTGCACAAGGCGAAGGCACGCTGTGTAGTCTCACGAGACTCCTCTGCCTATAGAGAGGGATGGAAAACAGTCAAAAGATTGATTTTCGTCAGCGAGGTTGGAATGAGTGATACAAACACTCAATCCGCCACTCAGTCCTTGCCACAAAGCTAGCCCTTCTATTAAGCTCCATTCAATTAATTTATTCCTCATCTAGGCTCTCATTTCTAGTTGCGTTCCCTCTCTGCATCCTTAGGGGCGCCATGTGTTCGAAATATTCTTTAAATTAGTCTTTGAATTAGTCTTTAAATTAGTCTTTAAATTAGTCTTCCAATAAGTCGTTAAGTAAGAAGACCATACATGTTCCAAGGGGCTGTGTGCTACTTAGCGTAGAGTGAGTGGCTATAATTATAAGACCTTCGAACAATGATGAGATCAACTAGCATGATGATAGCCAGTTTTAATAACCTGCTGATGATGCCCGTCTGGAATTTTTCGGCGCCATCCAGCTAGGTTATTCTAACCAGGATAAATAGCTGGTCGCTGAGTGCTTGGACGACGCCCGGGTGTAATGCTGTTCTTAACAATATGGAATACCTGCCTTGTCAGATTGAACAACAAGAAGACTGCGCTGCGAGCCTGGCATTTTTCAAAGCGTTTTCTAACCTGTATATTACTTGATGAGTGGCTTAAATAGGAACATAATACGTAATCTATCATATAATGGCTAGTGCTGATCATACTGTATTTGTACGCTGGTGATCGTATTGTTCTCCGGAGGGGAATGTCGTCAGTCAGACGATACCTATGCTTGATATGTTGCATATGGCATATATTGTTCTATGTGTGTATTACAGAGGAAGTTAGCAGGGAAACGAGAAATCCGTATATCTGCCAGAAAGTCACGGTATACATTAGGTCAACGCCCCTGCCGATTGAAATATACAAAAGCTAAATAGGTTTCTGTGGCGAAGGAGGCACCATAGTAGAATATAGGTATCCTGAGTGATGTATCTTCAAGACCTTGTACTCAGTAAGCCCGGATATTGAAGGATACTCTATCCGGCCAAATCTGAGATCACATTGCATAAATAAATAGCATAATTTCTACTAGTCTTGGTTTATAGGGAAGATTCTAATATTTTTGATTGGGTTCTATATAAAGGCCCACCTTTAACCTGCAATCTCCATAAAGGCAGTGCCCATTTTGCGGGCGTAAATGGTATAAATAATAGGAACGCAGCCCCGTGATATCTAGCCGACTGTACCAGAAAACCCATGATCAACCGGAATACAGGCACCATTGATAAGCCTGCTCCCCTTGCCGCATGTCATAGAAACACATACTTCCGCAACCTCGTCTAGGTCGCATAGGGGTGACCCCAGGGCTCCCATAATACCCACTACTTTCTCCTTTCCCTCTTCATTCACACCTGCCATAAATGCCTCGGTGATATTGGTAGCCATACCGCCCATCATCAACGCATTGCACCGAATACCCTTATTTCCATAGAACGCGGCTGTATTCTTGGTTAAACCAACCAATCCATGCTTACTTGCTGTGTATGCGGCACCTAAGCATTTGTTAGCGTCACGAGAAGAGTAGCAATAGGGCGAAGGTTATATACCAGCTGTCCAACCAGCTTTGCCTGCCAACGATACAATATTCATGATATAGCCATCTGGGTTCGGCTGCTCAAGCATATTACGAACAGCCAATCTGCTCAGCAGGAAAGGTGCCGTCAGATTGACAGCCATGACGCGATCCCACAATTCCTCATCCAAGTCCCCCACAGGGTCAAAACGGTCCATGATCCCAGCATTGTTTATCAGAATGTCCAGCTTTCCAAACTCGGAAACGATTGTGTCAAAAAGAGCCTGCACTGCTGCAGCAGAGGTAATATCGGCATTCACTGCTTTCAATGGGCCTTTTACTGAAAGCTCTGCAGAGGTCTGTTGAAGTCGATCGTCGTTGATGTCACAGATCACCACGTTGGCTCCGGCCTCAAGGAATTTTGTTGCAATAGCTTTGCCTAGCCCGCCGGCCCCGCCGGTAACCAAGCAAGTCTTTCCGGATAAAGTAGCCATATTGATGTGAGATAGGTGAAATAGAAGTCACTGTGCACTGATCGCGCCAGTAACCATCAGAGGATGGGACCTCCATCTTTTATGTCACTGAACCCCTATACGACATTCGTATTCGGATACGAGATTCATTAATGGACGTACTTTCACTAATCCTAAAGTTATTTTGCCGAAAATAGGCCACCCGAGCCGTGCCGTGCAGCCATTCCCTGGCGTGTACGTGGACCATACTTTTACTCCTATAACTGTCTCCAGTGAGGGCCGTTGGTTGGCCAATTGCAACGTTGTGGGGAACCTCGGCTGTCGTATTTGCGTATTCAGTCCAGTGGTATATTGATTCCTCAGGCAGACATCCGGAAATTCCCACAACCCTAAGTTAATTCCCCATATCCGAAACATCGTCTGTTGAAAGGAGAACCAGGAAATGCCGCCTCTGAAAGAGTTATTAAATTGCGAGACCAAGGAATTCTCTAAAAGGCTCCTTGAATACTGAAATGATTAGTTAATGATTCACCTATGACCAATGGCAATCCCCGTTTTGCCATTGGTAATATTCCATTATTCCTTTGTCCGTTATTCCTTTAAGCCCTCTGTCAAGGTCTGAGGGTATGTGTATAGGCTTGCTTATATTAACTCCTTCATCCTCCTACAATTAGCCCTAAATCTTCACGGAATGATCTTTCCATCTGCCTCGCTCCTTGGACTTTCTACTATATATAAAACCCAATTAGCTCCATCCTCAAGTTTTCTTTCTCTCCTTTTACTCTGGAGACCACCGTGGAGATACAGCTTTTGCATAAATATTACATGTCAAAAGATAAAGGCATATATGTGGGATGCTTTACGTTCCATTCGGTACCACGAACCAAAAGCCGGACTTTTACTACTTGAGTCTCAACCTACAGCTATTCCAACTACGAACACCGGAAAATTTTAAAGATTCGTAGACAGAACGCATATAAGGATTCATTCATAGCCGGAGCAGACTTTCATCAACATTACAGGCTTGCTGGGTAAGTTATTGTATCCAGCACATTTATAAGCCGAAAAGGTTGCTCAAGCCTAGCATAGGGACCCTCTATCTCACATCGAAATGGGATGAAATTTTCAGATATTACACTGCGAACAAGACGTACAGAAGCCCACCCAACTTATACAAACCCTGGTTTTCAATCTACCAGGTTGCCTAATTATTACTACCCTAGTTGAAATAGAGCATGCGGCAACTGTAGCCGTGGTCTTTGCTAGGAAGCTGATGAAATATGTGTGCCATCTGAACTTGACTCAAAGATCTGGTGAGAGGCCTGTTACTCTTGGGAAACACTATAGCCTCGAAGAGTGGCCCTGATCAAACCATTTGCTTCTATCATCGGCAGCATCAACAGCCCTAGCAGACCCCTTCCCTAGTATTGCTCAAAGATGAGGCTTTCCTCTATCACAAGAATTCAATAGTATGGTGCAACTCGCCAGCCCATGTTGCGTGTGCTGATCACAAGGCATTAAATTGATCATATCCCTTCCAGCATAAGCGTCTAGAATCTACTAATTTTGGTATGCGTTATACTAACGCTTTGCTGTATTGACTGCGGTGTTCCATTCAGATCTCACGGATTGAGAGAGCGAGCCCTCTTAAAGGAATTTACTAGGGACAGTAATAGGAACATCGTGTTCATATGCTCATATTACGTTACATCTCCAGGTTCAAACCTGCAGCAACTTTGCAGAAATGTATGTCTTTTTGATATGCTTCCTGTTACGCCTCATTCTATTCACCATTGTCTCTTTCCAGCATTTTCGTAATGTCTTTCATCAAGGTTTAGGCGATGGGCATGATCGTGTAAAGCAAGCTGTGGCCATTCTTCGTGTTCTATAGTCGCACTGTCTAACGGGAAAGGCCAGAATGCAAGCGCGAAACCTGCCCAAGAATACTGATGATTTGGCTAACGTCCATCTGCTGTCACCTGTTATATCTGTGGCCCCAATGCCCCAAGGGCTAATCAATATAAGCAACCACCCGTTAGCCAACCAAAAGGAAATTGGCACCCCTAGAGCACCACTGGCGAGCTCCGCCGAGTCCACAATACGCTCGATCATATCAAAATCTTCATCTATGACCCTTTAGGGCATAGCTAGTGCCGTATCTCCTCGGGGTGATCCGTCATGTCTCTATGAAGCACGAGAGCTTTTTCTCGACTGACGCAGCCAGAATTTGGTCTCCGCTTGAGCGGCTTTACAGAACGTGCGAAAGCCCTGCCGCCCTGGAGGCCATACCTTTGCGTCAATGGGCCAGCACATGCAGTAAATACAACTTGAGTATTAACATGGAAATCGTCCTGGCTAAACTCCGTGACGCCAGTGAATATGTCAAAAGCCATTAAATATCCCTTTTGGGTTCTCCCCGCGGTGCTGAGGCTCTCTCTCATCTTTCAAAGTTCGACAGTGGTTGTGACGCACAGGCGTTCTTACCGATTAACAATGGGGGCTCTTCGGCAGCAATTGCCTGTCACTGATGAGGTTATCAGCCAGTAATCTACCTGCAAGCTGGCCACAGTCTGCTCGTGCAGCCGAGGGTCTCCCAAAGCGGTAGTCCCGAGACCGACCAGCAGTCTAGCAACTTTGACATAATAGTTGGCACCCCCGGGGAAGTCCTCGGAGCTGTAGAGTCTGGGAACTTGTCACTGGATTCGGCCAGATACTACATGTTTGACGAGGCTAACAGCTTGCTCGGAGACACTGGTACAGGTTTTCATCGTCGGGACTTGTGTCAGGAGATACCACTTGAAACTGGCGCTCGCATCGTGGCATTCTCCCGGATTTTGCCAGCAATGGGACGCTTTTGCCTCCGTAGCGGTGAACCTCGCATGGCTATCACTGTTATGGAAAATAAAGATGGGTCGCTGCGCAGCATTTCTTGATGCTCCGCTGGTCGTCGCTATCGGTGTGGTCCCTTCCCTTTACAGGCAGTAGTTGTCAGTGTCGGTAGTATTGTCACAATCTGGACAAAGCTTATACAAAGTACAACAATGATGTGAGGATATAGATATTAGAGAGCCAACGGCCTATCTCTTGCTCCCCTGTCTCCTGCCCCTATCAAAATGCCATTGTTGAATCTTTGCAAAGCTCTTCCTCCTAGCTGTTCGGATTCTCGCTGGGCGGGATCCTTCATGGAGGTACTCGAACTGCAGCGAGAGTGTGGAAATGTTTATATCTAATGGCGCCCGTCTTCTGCTATTGATTACCCGGCTCCACAAGCGCAACTGTATGCTCCGCCTGTGGGAGCACAGAATTCACGCCGGGAGACATAGAACAGATTTTGGACGCAGGCAGCCTCCACCAAGACACCCCGACGAGCAGGCCAGGATTTACCAATCACTAACCCCGTGATAGAACAATCGCTAGATACACTATCCAACCAAGAGAGACATGTCTGAAGCCACCGAATCTACCGCTACGGGCTCTGAGCCCATCGATACGAACCCCTCCTCCAACGTCGGCATATCCGCCACGTCCAATTCCAGCGCGACAGAAGAAAATGGCACCAGAAGATGCCGGTTGCAATAAGAGCCCAGCTGGCACAATGTTCAACCTTTTAATTAGTTACCTAAGAACCTACCACCTGTTAAGCATTCACAAACACCGTCTCCGATAAGGCGGGTTGAATCTTTCTGGAAGGAGAAGAAAGCTTTTGATAACATGTTGACCGCGGGATCCCTAGGTATTCGGCCTAGCGCCTACGCGCGCCTTTGTAAGGTAGTCACATAGTTAGAACCACACAACTAGGACAATCAGCGATCTCTACCTCCATGAGAGTTTATCATAACTCAAAAAGCAAAATGACTGGGCATAGTCGAAAATAAAAGACGCCGAGAGTGTATAACTTAGGCAGTTCTTGATGGGAAAACATCAACGTCTCAGCACCCTGGAAGAGTGCTTGCGAGACTACGAATACAGCTCACTTGACACATTTTAGTTCTGTGGATTCTAGCTCGGATGTCGACTGATTGGCTATGTTATGTCGTGCATTTCACAACCGACCCATCTTTATCTACTTGTGTCTTTCCCCGTTATGTATAGGTTGTTACCGCTTCTCCGTACACCGGTAGATACAATCACAACATCATCATACTCATCACAGAATTCGTCAAGAGATTGACATTATGGTAGCATGTTAGGACCTAATTTATGTATTGCTTACAAGTGACCTTTACTGTAGAGTATGTAAAACATCTCCCACAGATAGAGAACATTAGGCTGCCAGAAAGGTCGTTGGTATCCGCTCTAGATCAAATAAATATAATAAGTCTTCTTAAAGAAAAAAGTCGCTAAAATAATCTATGATGCTAAGCGAATAGTACGAAAGATATAAACAACTATAATAGAGCATAGAAAGATCCGTAAACTACAAAGCATAAAATCTACCCTTTCTTAACCATCTCTTCACTCACCCTCGCTTCCCTCTCATGTCCATTCAGCACACTCATGGCTTGTGGTCCGGTGAATTGCTTCCTGCCCGTAGTTATCCATGTCACCGCACTAATCAATCCAATGACCCCAATCGCTGCGGAGGTATAGTTCATAGATTCATGCGTAACAGGGTAGTCGGTTGGGAAGTTGAATGTGATAGCTGCGAAGAGCAGAAATAGCAGACCCAGGATGTTAAGAGCGATAGACATAGACTGGGGGAGGGCGAAGGGGCCTTTCAAATGTGTCTTATGACCGGTTATAAAGCCGAGGAGACGGCTGAATAGAGCCATGGCGTAGGAAAGATCTTATACATAGTTAGCGAATCATTCACAGTGAAGAAATGAGAAGGTAACGTGGTATGACTTACAGAATCCCTCAGTGGAGATAGCAATGACCGTTTGGAAGCCGGTGGTTGTACCGAAGTCAATTGCATCCAAAGCAAGTTGCACGACGAGGGTAAGGAGCACGGCGTTGACTGGCACATGCCGCTTGCTGTCTACTCTGGAGAAGATATGCGAGAAGGGAAGGCCGTGGTCTCGGGAAAAGGCATACACCGAGCGCGATCCCTCCGCTAACAAATTGTTTCCGGCAACTATGACGATGATGGCGATCATGCTTGCTAAGAAACAGGTGCCGACTTTACTTCCTGTAGAGTCATAGAAGATCTGGATGACAGGTACGCCGGTGCTTGTGTTGGCAGTGTTGCTGATGTCACCGATGCAGAAGCAGAGCGTCAACAGGAAGGCAAATCCCGTCACAGCACCGAGAACGACCGAGAGAATGATAGCCTTAGGAGCTTCCTTCGAAGCTGACTTCATTTCTTCAGTCATGTGTGAGGGGGCATCGTAGCAGCACATCCCGAAACAGGCTTGCAGAATACCTACGATGGCTGCCATTGCGGATCCCCAGCCTGAGAAATTTTGGAACTCGGAGAACACAAATGATGCGGGTTGCTTGTGGTCATTTGTGGCTAAGAGGACGATCGTGGTTATCAGGAAGGAACCGACGTTCCAAATCAGGATGAATCGGGAGATGCGGTGCAGGAGGTGCGGACCCCAGATATTGATTGCTGTCGCCATGAATGCCACTAGATAAGCTACCAGGACAGTATGCCAACGCTCGATGGTGTAATCGGGGAAGACGAGATTGGCCATGCCGAGTACGAAGTTGGCTGCGATAGAGTTGTTCGTTGCACCCATTGCGAGAATACCTAGTTTGAAGGTGGTCATTAGTTTCAGGGTCGAGTGGATGGCACTATTAGGGTTGAGCAGACATACCGATGAGCATGAACCAGCCACTAATGTAAGAAAGTCCACGAGCGATACTCGGAGGCGCTAAAGCCGCAACCCAGGAGTATTGACCTCCTGCAACGGGATACATCGAGCACATTTCTGCCATTGGAATGGCAACTGCCAGTGTGAGAAGGCTCACGCCAATGAAACTGAACACCATGACCGGGGGGCCACCGGATGTGACGCCGACGATGAAAACACCGCTTAGAGCCGTCCATCTGCTCAAGGTTAGCGATACCATGATCAAAAGCCTCTATGAATTAATCGGTTGACTGACGAAGTAACCACGCTGAAGCTGAAACCAATCATACCCAACAAGCCAAAGGTTCGCTTGAGCTCTATACACACATCAGCACACACGCACGTAATCAGAATTGAACAGCATACCCTGCTCATAGCCGAGATTTTCCAGACGAGCATCTTCCCCCGTTGGTTCTGAAAAGACTTGCTGATTATCCTCCTCCTTCGCCATGGTAATAGTTCGTGTCTCGTCTAAGGCTTGAAGATGCAATACCTAGGCAACAGATGCGTGGGTTGCCACCAGGGACACCACGCCCTTTTAAAAAACCCATGGCTATACTCCAGGTCCTTCAGGAACTTCCCCGTTGGGAAGGGTAACCCCATGGAGGAGGCGTTGGTTCGACGATAGCCGGCCGAAGGCTTGACAGCGATAAGATAGATGTGCTATCTGACCTTCCCAATCGAGAAGGTCTCCGCGACGACGGTGGAGCAGCGAGTGTGGGGGAGCGAATCAGCATTCATCGGCGGTACCAGAGATTAGACATTCTGGGCCTGGGTTGGAGGCATCAAGGCCCATATTTGTGCACAGTGTAAGATTCAGATTGGCGGATGTTTGCATGAATGGGAGAACGTCAGTGGAGCGGTGTCTTTGTGGTTTCTGGAGTAAAGTGACACCCGATAAGGGCCCACGGCATTCGGCATAAGTTTGAAAAATCCATTTCCTAATAAAATTGATAAGTATATCTGTTATATCTCTATCAGTGCGAAACGTCATTGTCATGATCTGACTTACTGATCTGAGGCAATTTGATAGAGTACCTCACAGGATTGAAGTCATTGGATCACCCGAGCCCTGACCCAAATTTTATGAGTAATGTCAGAACTATAAAACTCCTAACTTCATGACAGAATTTAGAGAGCATATTAATATGGGAGGGCGGGTTCCGAGGGCCCCGTATCCCTACCTATACAATGAGGAGTATTGACCACTAGAACAGAAATGGAAAGACGTAATGCTTGGCCCATACGTTCATAAAAGAGCAATCAGCTGAGACGAATGCTTCCATTTCCTTACATCACTGGATCACACTCCACAATGTTTGCATACGGCCTGATTCCTCTCATTGCATCCACATCTGCCGTTGCGAGGGAGATCGTCTTCCCTCCCATCGCAGCAATTCAAGGTTCCGGACAAGTTCCGCTCGGCAAAGATGATACTGTTGATATTGTTACGGGTAGTCAGTTCTCAGGACTGACTACGTTCGCAAACTTACCTTACGTAAACTGTTTGGTCGATGACCAGGCACACTCCACACCTTTTGACATTGCAATCTTGGGTGCCCCGTTCGACACTGTACGTTCGACCTAATATCTCGTCTAATGACGTGCAAGGGTCGTGTAATGCTGAGTTGATTCTGCTTACAGGGTGTTACCGCTCGTCCTGGAGCCAGATACGGGCCAGGCGGTATTCGTCTCGGCTCTCGACGATTACAAGGATGGAACATCTACACGGGTGTCAATGTCTTCCAAAGCTGGGCGAAGATGGTGGACTGTGGGGACGCGCCACTGACCTGGTTGGATAACACAGTTGCATTGAAGCAGCTCGATTTAGCACACAAGGTAGGTATTCACGAGCTCCTTAACCGTGTCAATGATTTACCATCGAAACTTTCCGATAGGTTATATCATCGCGTCCTACGAATAGTACAAATCTGGGCCGTACACCTCGTATTCTTACCCTCGGTGGAGACCACACAACAACACTGTCGGCACTGAGGTCGACGTATGCCAAGTGGGGTCCTGTTTCGGTTATTCATTTTGATAGTCATCTCGGTATAACTCGTTACAGTCCCGTATAAATCTATATTGCTGACCTGACCTTTCAGACACTTGGGACCCTAAGGTACTAGGTAGGTCCATGCTCAAACGCCGGATATCGTAATAACACAATTGCTCACTCTATATTAGGGGGTGGTATATCCCACTATGCGTAGGTTGAACATTGTCTATGTCGGCACGACACTCTACTGACATTACCAGCGGGGTAAACCACGGAACCTTCCTTCACATAGCCCATGAAGAGGTTAGTCACCATCCGAGCACCAAGTGATTAATTAAGCAATACACTAACCACGTCCAGGGCCTTATCCGCGACACATCTTTACACGTTGGTATCCGTGCCCCTGTCATCCGCCCAAAGGGCGATATCCGAAACGATATCCGATGCGGATTCGAAATCATCAAAGCTCGTGACTTAGATCGGGTCGGGATAAATGGTATCGTAGAACAGATCAAGTCCCGGGTTGGTGACAACAAGGTGTATATTTCTGTGGATATTGATGTCTTGGATCCAGCCTACGCACCTGGTGAGTTTTCTGGTACCCTTTAGCTGGGTCAATCTACCTGACTTTAGTAGCAACGGGAACTGCAGAGCCAGGGGGCTTCACCACCCGTGAGCTTCTTTCTATCCTAGACGCTCTACATGGATTGCCGGTAATAGGTGCCGACGTTGTCGAGGTTGCGCCGATATATGATACAGCGGCCGAGACTACGACTTTGGCTGCTGCTGAGGTGGCTCATTCGTTGCTTTATCTGATGGTGGAAACGCCGGTCAATGATAACTAGAATCTGGCTAGCATCCACATGGTGTCTATGTAAGGTGTGAATTTGAAACGACAGTAGGTTCCAGTACTCATGGAGAGCAAAACATACTCCATAGCTCATTGGGTGGTACATAATTATTGTGCAACGTCCACTATGTGGCTCCAGATTCAATGTACAATGAAGCATGTTTTTAAATATGTCTTTATAAACACTGAATTATGTGGAGACTCTCGTCTTCAGTAACCCAGCTACCAATGATAAAGCACGACCCCCGGAGGAGATCAGCATTAACTAGGTCGTATAGTCTTACGCCCAGCGGTGAAAAGATAGCGAACACCCGTATCAACTATACTTAGGGCTGATTAGCCCCCGGGATAGTATAACTTGGCTCCAGCTAAGAACGCCGATCTTCGCATGATCCATGTCACATATACCAAGCGTAGCCAATAGAGTATGTATGTAACCGTACACATCTATATCCTATCAGTATGAAAAACCGAATATTCTAGCCAGACGCATTCCAGATTGCAATATTCTGCACAGCAATATGTCCATACAGCACCCTAACTCCGACCCTTTATCTTAACGCCGCGCCCCCCCCCCCCCCCCCACTTTTTTTTTTCCCGAGCAATTCTTTTGCATCATTGCGACATTCTTCAATCTGATAACCATTAAATCCCACCCCTCCATTACTTTCCCATACAGCACCAAAAGCCATCCCAGATCACCACAATGGTATATATATCCCCACATTATTCTCCCCAATTTATCCCCTCTACAACGGAAAAAGGCTAACAATTCAAGCCTCACGCCGACTCGTCCTACTTCGGCGCCAACGCCTCCAAATCCGACATCTACACTCAGGTCCTCGAACAAGCCCAGGGTCTTGTCTACGGGCAGCGCAACTGGGTATGTCCAATCCCTATCTATCCTATCCTCCTAATACAATCACCCTCTATATGACTAGATCCCATTAACTAACCAACCCAATATAACAGGTCAGGTAATAAACACCCCACTCCCACTCCCACCCCTACCAACCCCAAAGATCCAAGAACCTAACCCTAACCAAAAAAAAAAAAATACAGTAACTTCTCCAACGTTGCCTCCCTCCTCTGGCACGCCTACGCCGCCCTCCCCAGCCCCTCCTCTTCCGTAAACTGGGCCGGCTTCTACATCCGCCAAGACAAGTTCCCCAATGCCCAAACCACCGAGGACCAGAAGCAGAAGCAGGTCCTCTGGCTAGGACCTTTCCAGGGCCGACCTGCGTGTCAGGAGATTCGGTTCGGAAGGGGCGTGTGCGGCACTGCGGCTGAGAAGCGGGAGACGGTTCTTGTCGGTGATGTGTTGAGTTTCCCGGGTCATATTGCTTGTGATGCTAGTTCGAGGAGTGAAATTGTTGTGCCCATTCTTGTGGGTGGGGAGGTATGTTTTTTTTTTTTTT